GCTCATTTTAAATAAGTAGCTTGAACAAGCAGCAAACAGAGTGTATGCAAATCACATCAGAAGCAGCAAAAGCAGAAGAACTGAAAGCGCAGCAGACACACACACTCAGTGGCTCTCAGTGGTGTGTGTGTGATGGTTTGTATGTTTCTTCATGCCGCAGCAGGCAGGCAGACACATACTCACTCATTCATTCATTCACTAACTCACTCTCTCATTCACTCACTCACTCATTCATTCATTCACTCACTCATTCACTAACTCATTCATTCACTCATCCATTTATTCACACACTCATTCACTCACTCATTCATTCACTAACTCACTCATTCACTAACTCATCCATTCACTAACTCATCCATTCATTCACTCACTCATTCACCCATTCATTCATTCACTCACTCACTGATTCATTCACTAACTCACTCACTCACTCATTCATTCACTCTCACTCATTCACTCACACATTCATTTATTCACTCTCACTCATTCACTCACTCATTCATTAATTCACTAACTCATTCACTCATTCACTCACTCACTCACTCACTCACTCATTTACTCTCACTCATTCACTCACTTATTCATTCACTCACTCATTCATTTATTCACTCTTACTCATTCACTCACTCATTCATTAATTCACTAACTCATTCACTCACTCACTCACTCATTCACTCACTCACTCATTTACTCTCACTCATTCACTCACTCATTCATTCACTCATTCATTTATTCACTCTCACTCATTCACTCACTCATTCATTAATTCACTAACTCATTCACTCACTCACTCATTCATTTATTCACTTACTCACTCACTCACTCACTCACTCACTCACTCACTCACTCACTCACTCACTCACTCATTCATTCATTAATTCACTTACTCACTCACTCACTCACTCACTCACTCACTCACTCATTCATTCACTCATTCACTAACTCACTCACTCATTAATTCACTCACTCAGTGGATCTCATTAGTGGGTGTGTTTGTTGTAGGGCTGCACGATATTGGAAAAAATTGACATTGCGATATTTTTTTCCCCTGCGATATATATTGCGATATTTTATATATATATATATATATATATATATATATATATATATATATATATATATATATATACTTAAAACTAGGGCTGTGACGGTCACCATGACAACCGCGTCACTGCGGTGGTCATTGCCACCTCGGTTGTGTATTGCCACCGGCCGTAGTACGTGAAGTCACGCACTTTAAAACACAAATTACTGTTATGTTGCCAAGTATTACATATCTGTTAGAATATAACATTAGGCGCGATTCAGCAAGTTCAAGTTCAACCATGAATCTTGTTAGAAAACGAACTCTTACATCTGGGAACATTTTGGATTCGTGCCGACCGAGAAAGGTGAACGAATTGATTTAGATTAAGCTTTTTGTATGGGGGTTTTTAAGTGTTAAAGTGTGTTTTAATATTCACTGCTGAGAGTCCAAACACTGAGGAGCAAATCCATCGATACGCAGATCCACGGGTCCCGAACCATACAAGCTAGTGGCGATTGACGGCGAGGGAAAAAAAGCCATGTAGGCTTAATCAACTCCTGTCTTCTAAACGCAGAAGCCCAGCTCAGCCAGGCATGGCAGAGGCATTTGCAAAAATGGCCAGATACAAAAGAGAAAGTGATAAATGGAAGACATTGACGAGAAATTGAGCATAGGCTATTTGGTAACTACTTAAGAACGCGCCGCTCCGCAGAGTAGAGAAACCTGCGTTGCGAGAAATGCGGGCGGCGGAACATAAGGAGAAGCCCTCTCTCGCATGGTTGTGAAAAAGTAGCCTGTCTGTGCATTATCGCTACAAGCACACCGTCTGACAGTGTATTGCTGGAAACATTATAACCCCATTCTTCACTTAAACCGGACAAAGTCAACATGTTAGTTTTTCTGGCAAATAATTTAAAATATGACTACAAAAGGTGGAGAAAAACTACGCTGTTTTTTAAACATCTGACTTATATTGTTACTAGGTTAATATTTTCTTTTTACTTATAATTATTAATATTTATATTATTATTACACTGATTAGTAAAGTGCCATTTAGACTATTTGTTAAGTTCTTAAAAATGTAACGTTTAATTGTTATTATTATACAGTTTCACGCAGTTAAAGTAATTTAATATTTAACTACAATATTTATAAACAGTTTTGTGTTGTTTTATTAACGAAAGTTCAAAAGTAAACATGTACGTTTATACGGATGTTTTATTTATTAATATTAAATTCGGTTATTCCTTAATTTTTACATAAAAGGTAAATTAACTTTAGGCTACATTGTTTGTTGATGTACGAGATCGAGGAACATGTTTGCCAGTAAATAATGTTCGCACCACTTAAAAAACAAAACAAATGAATAACTTGCGAAAAGGATGCAATAAAAAATGCGCTTAATCATTCTTCACAATCGGATTCGTACGTGCAATAAGCCGAGGCTATATTGCGCCTACAAGAACAAGCCCTAAAACTAAGTCTAGAGAGAGAATTAATACTAGTTAATATTAATGATTATAAACACGAACTGCGTTGTATGATAAAAGCCTCACAATGATGTCGTGATTTTTGCTGAAGAACTGATATGTTATCGCCGTCTCCCCAGCCAGGTTTTCATCTGCTTTTTTCCCCTTCTTCTGGATACAAACAATAAAGTATCAGCGCCAGACCAGTGGTTTAAATTATATTTTACTCTCCTGATTTCTTTTCTTTTCATTAAAAAATAATTAAATGTTTAAAGTTTTGTATTGCATAGCCTATATATTTTTAAAGATTATCATTCAGCCTACCTGCAGCGCATGAGGTTGTGTGCTGGGCAAATCCCCTTTACTCATGCTACCCATTTCATTTATGACACTGTAAACTTGACTTGGCAGGCTGATCATCTTTAAACTCAAAAGGTGTTTTTAACTTGAGACTGCATGCGTCTGCATAATGTGATGTTTCTTATTACAACTGTTAGCGGTGTCAAAATGAAAGCAAACATTAAAAAGGGTTTTGTTTTATCAATTGTATAGTTTAGTTTTAATAATAGCTAATGTATATAATAAATTATGATATTGATTATTGTGTAGACTACAGTGTTCAACAAAAAATTTTATTAGGTTACTCTAATAGACCAAATCCCTAACTGAAAAACGAATGTGAAAATGACAGGCAGTTGCGTCTTTGCTAAAATTAATTTAACGAAAAATTTCTTTTGCTTTTTTCCCCTTTAGAGATCAAAAGAGCTGTATTTAAAGAATTATTTCACCAAAACATGAATTGAATGCCCAGTTCTTTCCCGTGTGAGTTTAGTGCGCCTCCGCCATTTTTAAGGTTACAGGTGCACCCTGACCTGACGCGGGGACCAGATCTCTGTATTGCTTTAATTTCTCAACTTTCATAACTGCATTGCATTTTCATATGGTAAAATATCAAAATTTATGCTCTGAAAGTAGTAGGAATGACGGGAGTGTTAGTAATTAATAACAGAAAGAACTTTCACTTTTGAGTGAACTTCTGTCACGTGTTATTTTAGTATGATAAAATAAACAAAGATAGTAATGCAGAAAAGTATTTTTCGCTCTTCCAAGCCTTCTCTGTTGCTGTACAGAGAAGCAGCCTGCTCAGTCTCCTTACCCCGGCCCCACCCCGCCCACCCACTCCTGAACTTCTCAGTCACTAACTCACTCACTCACGCGGGCATGCATTGCGGTCTCATGAGGAAACGCAGCTTTTTGATATAATGTTTTTCTTGTTCCCAAATACAAATAATTTATCAAGTATTGTTTGACATAAGTATTCGTAAAAACACGCTAATCCTGCTTTTCCGAATACCGTATTCCGGTTCGGCTCCACCCATAATATATATATAATTTATTATTATTATTTTTTTTTTTTTGCATCGCACCCTCCTGCGATGTGACTATCGCGGATGCGCACATCGCGATTTCGATGCTGAAACGATATATCGTGCAGCCCTAGTTTGTTGCTCACACACTCTCACTTAGTTGCTCAAATACTCTCACTTAGTGGCTCTCATCGGTGTGTGTGTTTCTCCAGGCAGCAGCAGGCACACACACTCACTCAGTGGCTGTCATTGGTGTATGTGTGATGGTAGGCCGTACACTCCCAGCGGTCTCTGTGTGCGTATAAATAGATATATATATATATATATACATACATACATACATACATACATACATACATATACATATATATATATATATATGTGTGTGTGTGTGTGTGTGTGTGTGTGTATTTCTCTCTAGGCAGTATGCCCCAGCGGTGTCTGTGTGTGTGTGTGTTTCTCTCCAGGCCGTACGCTCTCATCAGTGTGTGTGGTGCGGTGTGTGTTATTTATCTGCAGGCCGTACAGACAGACGTGCGCGCTCTGTTCTCCTCCTACCTCGCACCTGCCTCTCCAGGCTGAGGATGACCTGCACGGCCTGCTGCAGGATGATGAGTTTGGTCTGGGCCTTGTCGCTGCGCAGGTGCAGCTGGCACATGCGGCCCAGCTCCCGGAAGGCCTCGTTGATGTCGCGCACTCGAACCCTCTCACGGGCGTTATTGGCCATTCGTCGCTCACGCTCGCGCTGCTCCTTCTCCTCCACCGTCAGGTTCTCCTCCGACACACTGCTGCAGTTCACACACGCACACTCACTAACCACACTAATGCAGCTGCTTATTATTATAAACCACTACTGCTACACTCTTCATCAAGGAAACACGCACTCGTTATTAAAGTAGAAGCAGTCAATAAATTTTTATGCAAATTACTTTTTAATAATAATTTAAATATTACTCACCACCAACACTGATGGAGCCTATTATATACTACTACACTCTTTACGAAGGAAATACTACCTCATTATTTAAGATTCTGTAGTCGATACTTTATGCACTTAACTTTGAATAATAATTAAAATATAATAGTTAAATAAGTAAATAATAATAATAATAAAATAATACATAAAATATAATTATAATGCAAAGTGTTTACCTTTTTTTTAATAAATGGTCAAATTTACATAGCAATTACATATTTTATATTGTCTGTGTGTGCATCATTGTATGCATATATATATATATATATATATATATATATATATATATATATATATATATATATATATATATGTACACACATACACATAGACACACAAAAAGCTATAAACTAGCAAATTATATATTTCATTGCCTTCATACATAATGCATTTGATCAAATAAATTTTGCGGGTCTCATTCTTTAGGAAATAAGCATTATTATATAGGCATTACTTTGCATTTAATAAGTATTTAATTATATATCTTTATACGATATGCTTTCGGTATGATAGATTGATATATAAATAATATAATATTCAATCATTTTAATTATTAAATAATATAAATACACTACAAACAGTTGATTTCTTTGAATATATTTTAGACAATTACATATATACTAAAAAGGTATTGCTTATTAATTAAATACGGACTAATATTAAAGACCAAATTGAAAAACATTTTGTTGATTACATAATCAAATGCTTTGATTACATTACAAAAGAAGAAGCAAATGCTATGTTTTGAAAAACTTCAGTCCAGTGCTGAGATGAACTGTAGTAATGAAAGTGAGGCTTGCGGTGAAGGATCTGGTGGAGATGCGGAGAGCGGAAACATGAGCGTCCGGAGCGTCTTCTTGTCTGAGTGTGAACGTCTTATTTATTTACACGTATAAACAGGGTTCCCACGCTAAACCAAACCTCAAACTCACTGAATTTGACTGACCAAAAAGCTTTATTTACAAAACCAATGAGCACTGAGGAGACAAAAACAATAATATATCCTTAACTAGGGCTGCACAATAGTGTTGATATCACAACGTACACATCCACAATAGTCACATCGCAGATGTGCAATGTGCAGTCATGATCATAGTGGATTAGGCATAATAGTTTGTCTCTGCAAAGTTTATTTATAAAACTAGCCTAAAGCACTATCTGCTGTTTAAAAACTAGCCTAGAGCCCCATCTGCTGTTTAAAAACTAGTCTAGAGTGCCATCTGCTGTTAAAAACTAACCTAGAGCGCCTTCTGCTGTTAAAACCTAGCCTAAAGCGCCATCTGCTGTTAAAAACTAGCCTAGAGCGCCATCTGCTGTTTAAAACTAGCCTAGAGCGCCATCTGCTGTTTAAAACTAGCCTAGAGCAGCATCTACAACATAAAACTAGCCTAGAGCGCCATCTGCTGTTTAAAAATTAGCCTAGTGCACCGTTTGCTGTTTAAAAACTAGCCTAGAGCGCCATCTGCTGTTTTTAAACTAGCCCAGAGCACCAAATGCCGGTAAAAACTAGTCTAGAGCGCCATCTAATACTAAAAAACGAACAGAGGTGGAGCGCCATCTGCTGTTCAAAACCAGCCTGGAGTACCATCTGCTGTTTAAGGACTAGCAAAGAGCACTGTCTGCTGTTAAAAACTAGCGTACAGCGCAGTCTATTATTTAAAAACTAGCCTAAAGCACCATCCGCTGTTCAAAACAAGCCTTCAGCTCTGTTTGCTGTTTAAAAACTAGCCGGGAGTGCCATTTGCTGTTACAAACTAGCCGGGAGCACCATCTGCTGTTAAAAACTAGCCTAAAGCGGCAGCTTCTATTAAAAACAAGCTTAGAGGGCTATCCAATGTTAAAATTAGCCTAGAGCACCATCTTCTCTTTAAAAACTAGCCTAGAGCGCTGCTTGCTGTTGAAAACTAGCATTGAGCGCCGTCTGCCGTTAAAAACTAGTATAGAGCGCCATCTGCTGATCAAACTAGCCTGGATAATCTGATGTTAAAACCTAGCATAGAGCACCATCTACTGTTTAAAACCTAACCAAGAGCTCCATCTGCTGTTCAAAATTAGCATTTTACCCAGGTTACTGTTTAAAAGCTAGCCTAGAGCACAATATTCTGTTAAGACTAGGCTAGAGCAGCTTCTACTGTGAAAACAAGCCTTAAGTGCCATCTACTATTTAAAAACTAGCCTAGAGCACCGTCTACAGTTAAGACTAGACCAAAGCACCATCTACTGTTTAAAAACTAGCCTAGAGCGCCATCTACTGTTTAAAAACTAGCCTAGAGTGTCATCTGCTGTTACAAACTAGCATAGAGCGCCATCTACTGTTTAAAAATTAGCCTAGAGTGCCATCTGCTCTTACAAACAAGCCTAGAGTGCCATCTGCTGTTACAAATTAGCCTAGAGCGCCATCTACTGTTTAAAAATTAGCCTAGAGTGCCATCTGCTCTTACAAACAAGCCTAGAGTGCCATCTGCTGTTACAAACTAGCCTAGAGCGCCATCTACTGTTTAAAAATTAGCCTAGAGTGCCATCTGCTGTTACAAACAAGCCTAGAGCACCATCTCCTGTTTAAAAGCTAGCCTAGTGCACCATATGCTGTTACAAACAAGCCTAGAGTGCCAACAGCTGTTTAAAAACTAGCCCAGAGCACCATCTATTGTAAAGACCATTCTAGAGTGCAGCCATCTGTTAAAACTAGCCTAGAGTACCATCTGCTGTTAAAACTAGCCTAGTGATACTCCAGAAATGTCATGCGCCGTGGGAACCCTGTGTAGAAGAGTGGGTGTTTCAGGAGGCCTGTGGGACGCAGCGAAAGCTGAAGACGAGAAAACAGCGAGACGAGAGAGAAACGCACCGTCTTTAAGAGCCGCACAGAAACACACACTGAGAGCCACTGAGAGCCAGACAGAGGACAGATGAGGTGAGCAAAGTCTCATTGCAAAAAAACACATCCGAGATGTGTTTACACGGCATGAGACTGAAACCACTGCGGCTGTCTGTAAAGAACAGATGGAGAAAAAATGGCCGACAGAAACACGACCTGGCGAACAGAGGTTAAACATCACATGCAAGCATTAATCAGACCATCACGAGTGAACCGCTAAAGAGGAAATGTGAGAGAGCCAATCCGTCTCTTCTAGCTGGAGAGGTTAATGCCTGCGGAAAGAGCATTTTAGACATGCAACAGTCGAAAACTGGAGGATGAAGGATGACAGTAGAGCTGGGACGACACTGGTATAAGAGAAATGATTCTACATTGACAAATGCATTACCATTCAGTCTTGCATTGATTCTGAGGTTAGTTTTGAGCTCATATGCTGTTAAAAACGACATTGGAGCGCCAACTGCTGTTTAAAACTAGCCAAGAGCATTATCTGCTTTTAAAAACCAGTCTAGAGAGCCATAATGCCGTTTAAAAGTAGCCTAGAGCGACGTCAGCTGAAACACTAGCCTAAAGTGCCATCTGATGTTAAAACTAGCTTAGAGCGCCATCTGCTGTAAAAACTAGCCTAGAGCATCATCTGCTCTTAAAAACCAGTCTAGAGCCACAACGCTGTTTAAAAGAAGCCTAGAGCGACGTCATCTGAAAAACTAGCCTAGAGTGCCATCTGATGTTAAAACTAGTCTAGAGCACCATCTGCTGTAAAAACTAGCCTAGAGCGCCATCTGATGTTAAAAATAGCCTAGAGCACCATCTGCTGTAAAAACTAGCCTAGAGCGCCATTTGATGTTAAAACTTGCCTAGAGTGCCATCCGCTGTTAAAACTAACCTAGAGCGCCTTCTGCTGTAAAAACTAGCCTAGAGCACCATCTGATGTAAAAACTAGCCTAGAGCACCATCTTCTGTAAAAACTAGCCTACAGCGCCATCTGCTGTACAAACTAGCCTAAAACATCATATGCTGTTCAAAATTAACCTAGTGTCGTCTACTGTTAAAAACTAGTCTAGAATGCTATCTACTGTTTAAAAGTAGCCTAGAGCACCATCTGCTGTACAAACTAGGCTAGAACATCTTCTTCTGTTCAAAATTAACCTCGAGCGCCATCTGCTGATAAAAACTAGATTAGAGCGCCAACAAACATCTGCTGTTAAAAACTAGCCTAGAGCACCTTCTGCTGTTAAAAACCAGCTTAGAGCAACATGTGCTGTTAAAATCTACGTTAGAGCACCATCTGCTGTTAAAACCAGCCTAGAGCAACATGTATTTTTAAAATCTACCCTAGAGCACCATCTGCTGTTAAAATCTGCAGTTAAAAACTAGTCTAGAGCGCCATCTGATGTTAAAACTAGCCTAGAGCAACATCTGGTTTAAACTAGCCTAGAGCAACATCTGCTGTTTAAACTAGCCTAGAGCAACATCTGCTGTTTAAACTAGCCTAGAGCAACATCTGCTGTTTAAAGCAGCCTAGAGCAACATCTGCTGTTGAAAGCAGCCTAGAGCGCCACCTGCTGTTTAAAACCAAGTTCCGAATTTATTTAAGAAAATTGTTATGCATCCCAAACATTTTATAGTACAAGCATATTTTTTATTCATTGCTATATCAAGCATCTTACGCTGCATTCAAGGCAAGCAAGTATAACAAATACAATAAAAACAAACACAAGTTGATTGACACTAAAATTAGTTGTTTTCGTCATTAGCAAGATTATAATAAAACAGCTCCAAAACCCTCAGAAACAAGCCAAGAATAACAATGCATTATTTATCGTCCCAGCCCTTTTTAAAAGCATTAAACAACTGCAGAGAGAAAACAGAGGAATCTGAATGGCTGCATGTTTTATGCATTAGCAATGGTACAACTTAAAAGCAATAACAGAAATACTATCATTTACTCAACCTTGGAGTTTCAGCTGTGTTTTGTGAATCTTCTGCAGGTTTACTGATGCCTTTTTAATGCAGTTACAGTAAAAAGGCATAATCTTGGCATAATTCCCCTTAGATTTGTGTTTATCTATTTTAATTTTGCATATAAAATCAGATTTATAAAACAAGCAGAAGTTCATAATAAAAAAAATTGTTGCAAATATGCACCAAAAAAAGCACTCCAAATGATAAGTGCACAATATCTGAAGTATCCAGTAAATGAATAAAGGATAAACTACTCCTTTATTTACTGAAAATCATCATCAGTGCATGATTATAATCAAACGTGTCATGTTAAGTTTATTCATTACAACAATTGAAATCATTCTGTGCTCTTCAAAATCTGACTTGGGTGAGTAAATGAGCATGTATAAAGCTACTTTGAGTCTGTTAGTTGCATCAATGCTGCAAGCAGACAGAAAGCAGGACGGGATGAAATGAGAGACAGAAACACATGCAGAGAGTGCAGAAAGTCCCACAATCACCCTGAACAGACGGCTGAGTGGCCGCGGGGAGGCAGGAGGCTTCAATTTAACCATCATCATAAACAACAGCTAAAACAAAACATGTTCTTGGTTGCCAGGCTGTATTTTTTTAGGCAAGACACTGCAGGTCAATACAGCAGAACGCTAATCAAACAGATAAAAGCTACTCACTATGCCTAACTAAGTATCTTTACAATTATACTTTAAGACATAATTTTGGGGGGGCACAGTGGCTCAATGGTTAGCACTGTGGCCTCACAGCAAGAACAGGTTCGAGTCTCTGCTGGGCCAGTTGACATTTCTGTGTGGAGTTTGCATGTTTTCCCCGTGTTGGCGTGGGTTTCCTCTGGGTGCTCTGATTTCCCCACAGTCCAAACACATGTGCAATAGGGGATTATCAGTCCAAACACATGCACTATAGGGGAATTGATTAACTAAATTGGCCGTAGTGTATGAGTGTGTGTGTGTCATTATGAGTGTGTATGGGTGCTTCCCAGTACTGGGTTGCAGCAGGAGGGGCATCTGCTGTGTAAACATATGCTGAATAAAAGGACTAAGCTGAATGAATACATAATTATGTGCATATTATCATTCCAAATGTTGTTTTAATATACAAAATGATAATTACTATATCTAATTAAAAGTTATGAAATGTATACAATTTATCTATGAAATATATGCATGCATGTATATCTTAGCTGTTTATGCCTACAAATATCAATATATTCTGATTTCATTTTCAATACATTATATTTAAAGGTATCCTATAATTATAAAATGCATAATCTTTATGTCTTGACAAAATACACTTAATTATAAGTGTATTTCTGTTTCATCTTCACTAGTATATTACACAAAACTTGTATTACCAGTATTATTTTAACTAATGTATTACAGTATAATATAAATGCAGATTAAAATAGATTTCATCAAATTTAACAACACTTTACAAACTGTGCATATACATTATATTTAAATGATATATTTTTTCTTACATACATGCAATAATTTCTTACATTTGCATATATTTTTTTTATTTATAAAAATGCTATTACTGGTAATATATATAAATTATTACACTAAACTATAAATAAACATTAAAATAGTATTCATAATATATAATAATGTATATAAGACTTTACAAATTGTACATGCATTGTAATAAAATAAGTGGTGGGCCGTTATCGCCGTTAACGTGATTTTTAAAAAATACAGCCGTTAATCTATTCTCAAAGTTGGATTGGCATCTGGGTCTATCCTAAGCAAGATATGACTTTCCCCTTGATATATAGCGCGAATGTATACCTGACCGGTGAGCCGTCTGACAAAAAAAGTGCCCTTCTGAATCTTTCACTTACGTCGAAGACACTACTGACTACGCTTACATGGACATCTGTAATCTGGGTATTTGCCCTTGTGTGTTTACGTGCCTTCATGTAAGAGTTTCCTGCAATTTCGGGTGATTTTAACTGCAGTTCGGCAGTTTCACATTCACTCATGAACATTTCATTCATGCCCCCGAGACAACCTGGGGTATTAGACGTAAATAAGGAGTATGGACTGGTGAGAGTGTTATGGGTTTCATAACGCACACCAAATGGAAAGAAAAAAAATTCTGCATTTCGCAATGTGTGCGGTCCCTTATGGACAGCCACGTGTGTGGATCTTTTCGGAAAATATGGTGAAAAGTCCTACATAAGGGTAATAGTTTGATCGCGGTGTTTATTTCAATAATGTGACTAAAATCTTCATACTCCACGTCTTAATTGCATTTCTGTTTAGTTCAGTTATGACTTAACAGGTGACATTAAGGTGATCAAAAATGGCTGTTTGGAGCTTATGTAGGCCTACAGTTCAACATCCTTGTTTAACTGAATAAACAGTTAGTGAACACAAGTACATCTTACTGAACATCATTTATTTTTATCACTAATTATCGGAGTAGAACAGTTTCTCAAGCAGTTTGTGATGCATTTTGGGAACCGGAGATGAGCCCCTGGTCTAATGCGCCACCTGACTTGAGAAAAGTCATTATTTGGGTAGCACACATATTCTGAATGCCAAAATGAGCCATTTTAATCTAGATTAATTCCAAGATTACAGTAATATTAATCTAGATTAAAATATTATCTATGCCTACCTATAAATAAAATTGTTTGCTTTCATGTATGCCCAGTCTCTTAAAAATAAAAATGATAGTACAACTGCATGTTAAATTTACACTCTTCCCTACATGTAATCACCCACAAAACATCAAAATGCACAGATGCATGGGGAAAAAAAACCCTACAGTGTCTTGCTTTTCAAAATAAAAGTAATTTCTGTAATAAATATGATGTAATGGTATACTTTTATCACATTAAAATCAGCAATGCACCAGAATGCATCCTCCTCCCCGGCGGCGCAGTCAGGCGTGGCGGCCACAGACGGATCTCCGCGAGTCTAAACACTGATCTGAGGTCAGCCGCACACACTGACCTCGCACTTGCTGCTCCAGGTTGAGAATAACGTTTACGGCCTGGTGCAGGATCAGCAGTTTGGTCTGCGGTTTCTCATTGCTCAGGTGCAGCTGGCACATGCGGCCCAGCTCTTTGAAGGCCTCGTTGATGTCGCGCACACGCAGACGCTCGCGGGCGTTATTGGCCATTCGCCGCTCACGCTCCCGCTCCGCCTTCACCTCCACCGGCAGATCCTCATCATCCTCGTCTTCGTCCTCGTCTTGACTTGAGGGACAGAGGGGCGAGAGGAGTTACAGGCAAAAACAACAGCCAGAGGGGTTAGAAAAACCGACCAATCAGAAGACACTTGGATGGATGGCGGAACTGAGATTATTACAAAATTAAGTTTATTTATTTATTTAAGTCTATGGAAAGTGGCTTTGTTGCTCACCAATGCTGAATTACTCCAATTAAATTGCTAAATATTATTAGTTTTTATTATTAGTGAATCAAACGGACCAATCAGAAGACACTGGGAGTGGAAGAATTGAGATTAGTACAAAATTGTTATAATTTTTTTTTTTTTTTGTCTATGAAAAGTTTGTTTTTTTGCTCACCAATGCTGAATTTGTTAAATTAAAAATAGTGCAAAAATTGCTAAATATTATTAGTATTTAAAATGACAGTTTTCTATGTGAATATACTATATTATTTAATTTATTTTTGTGACGTAAAGCTGAATTTATAGCATCATTAGTCCAGTTTTTACAAAAGGATCACTGATTCTAAAGTCTAAGTTTGTGAAGTGTTTTAGCTCACTAAGGCTGAATTTATGTGGCCAAAAATAGTGCAAAAATAGCTAAATATTATTAGTATTTAAAATAACAGTTTTCTATGTGAATATACTGGAAAATGTAATTTATTTATGTGATGTAAAGCTAAATTTCCAGCATCATTACTCTGGTTTTCAGAGTCACATGATTATAATATGATGATTTGATGATCAATAAACATTTATGATTATCAAGATTGAAAACAGTTGTGCATAAGTTTAAGGCAAGTTAGATTTAAACTGGGGGAAAAATATTCCACAAAAAATAACCCCAATGATGATCAGAAAACGTTATTGTTCACTAAATAATCATATTATAGTGATCGCTGAAGGAACACTGAATTATCAGAATTTTTGTCTTTGAAAAGTGTTTATTTGCTCCCTAAGGCTGAATTTATCGAATCAAATATAGTAAATAACTTGTGAAATTTTATTAGTGTTTAAAATAAATGTTTTCTATGCAAATATACTATAAAATTAAAAAAAAAAAAATTGTTGTAAAGGTGAATTTTCAAGATCAAACTACAAGTTTTAGAGACGCATGATTCTTCAGAAATCCCTATAAAATTCAATATAAAATAATATTCAAGAAACATTCATAATTATAATCAATTTTAAGTTTGAGTCATGTTTACAATGATGGGAAAATAAACTAAATTAATAATCAAAGATACATACAATTAATGAAAAGCAACAGTTAAAACTATTATGATACAATGTTACAAAATGTTGTCATGTCACTTTTAAAAATGTTACAATGTTGCAGAAGATACTATTTCAAATAAATGCTGTTTTGAACATTTCATTCATCAACTACACTACCAGACAAAAGTCTTGTCGCCTATCCAAGTTTTAGAAAAAACAAATAATAGTCTTCTAGTTGATCATTTGATATCAGAAGTGTCTTATATGAAAGGCAAAGGCCTCTAGATTATGCTTATTTGAGCACAATAAAATCTGATCATGCTTGATTATTAATGATTTGATTAGGACAGTAAGGTCTGACTCTGCTTAGACTAAAGTCTCATCACTGAACAGAAATAATGTCCAGTATAGAATATAAAGTCCTGCTGCAGTGGAGACAGAATGAATATTGTGTCTGACTCCATCATGAGCTTGGAGGACTGCATCCATACATCTCTGACATGACTCAAATCACTGATTAATAAAGTCATCTGGAATGGCAAAGAATCATGTGACTCAAGACTGGTGAAATGATGCTGAAAGTTCAGCTTTACACCATAAAACTAAGCTACAGTAAGTTCCTTTATAGTCACATTGAAATTGTTTTTAAATTGCAACAATATAACTGTATTATTGTTGAAATGAATGCAAACGTATTGCAAATAAGACTCTTATTATTTACTCTAAACTCTTGCCTTATTGCATTTTTAATCCTGTAATGGAATGAAGTTGCACTGGTACCTCGTTCTCGTGCGGCTTTTTCCATCTTTCTTCTCATCCTCTGATTTATCTGCGATAGACAGATTCTCATCGTCGTCTTTGTCTTCTCTCTTTATATCTGAGCTGGAGGCGTGAGACGAGCGAGCCAAAGAGAGACCTGAAAGTCAGAAACAGGACGAGATTAGCAACAGAAAACACTCCCAAACATATTGTAACTCATAAAGGTGATTTCTAGATGCTAAAACGTGACCCTGGAGCGCAAAATCAGACTCATGTTGCACAGGAATATTTGAAGAAATAGCCAAAAACATTGGCTAATTGTATGGGTCAAAATTAAGTCAAGATTACATTAAATGAAGATATATTGTGCATTTTCTACTGTAAATTTATGAAAGCTAAATGTTTGATTGGTAATGTGCATTGCAAAGCACTTCATTTAAACAACTTAAAAGGAGATTTTCTCAATACTTCGATTTTTCTTAAACCCCAAATGCATCAAGTCCAACATAACTGACTTGTATGAATCACAAAATGATTTTTTAAGTGGTAAAAGCATGAGACATGACGCTGTTTACAATGCATTTTAAAAATAGGGTGTATTTGCATTATCATTTCAGTTCTTGCATTCCCTTAGAACCAATCCTAAGAACTTTAATGCTTGTTTTAAAGCTTTATGATGAATTAAATGCATGCAACAGTGTAAAAAAAGCAATTAAAAAGGAGTGCATTTGCATTATTTCAGTTAATACATTCTTTTAGAACCAATCTCATGAACTTTAATGCCTGTTTTAAAGCTTTATGATGTATGAAAAGCATGCAACAGTGTAAAAAAGTTATTAAAAATGAACTCATATATTCCATTAGAACCAATCTCATGAAGTTTATTCTTTGTTTTAAAGCTTTATATTGTATTAAATGCATGCAACTGGCTAAACCAATTTAACCCTCTCACGGCAGGCGTTGCTGATTTGCAACAATTAAAAGCATAGATTTTTTTTAGCTCATGCATTGCCTTGGAATCAATCTCTTGATCTTGAATGCCTGTTTTAACTTTTTGATGTATGAAAAGCATGCGTCACTGTAAAAAAAGCAAATGAAAGTAAGGTGCGTTAACATTATTTGAGTTCACGCATTTCCGTTAGCATCAATCCCAAGTACTTTAATGCTTGTTTAAAGCTGTAGGATGTATAAAAAACATACAAGAGTGTAAAAAAAACTATTAAAAAATGAGGCGCATTTGAAATTATTTCAGTTCATGCATTCCCTTAGATAGAATCCCATGATTTTTATTGCCTACTACAATACAAAAACCTTGTTGCACGCTCATGCATCAAAGTGCCTGCTCAAAGCTCATCGTTTATGAATGTGAATAAGACTAATGTGCATTATGATTAAGGAAGCAGCACTGACTGGTGAAGGTGTCAGACTGAGAGGACGGTGGAGGCTGATGGGAAGTGTGGTGTCCCTGCAGAAGAGCACTGGACTGCGGTAAACCTGCGGCGTCTTCACTGTGATTTGACATCTAGACAGAGAACATTAATGCACACTATTAGTCAACATTGATTAGAGGCTCAGCAGTCAATTTAATATTTCATTAGTAAAAAAATTTGGGAAAAAAACTTTGACGTCAAAATGTGACAAATATATTATGCAGTTCTTTAAATAATGTGTAAAAAATTACATAATGTATGAATATCACCTTTTAAAAGGGTTCTTAAAAAGTTAAAACTGCTTTTATTCTAGCCGAAATGAAACAAATAAAACTTTCTCTGGAAGACAAAAATATTATAAGAAAAACTGTGAAAAATTTCTGAATCTGTTCAACATCATTTGGGAAATATTTAAAAAAGAAAAACAAATTTAAACGAGGGCTATTAGTTCTGACTTCAACTGTATATCACTTATATATTTGCAAATCTTGGGTGAATAATCTCTCTAATATGATAATACCGGAGGCATATCTTTCATCTGTAAAGCCAGAGTTTTGTTCACACTCACCAGGCCCGGCAGACGGTTGGCGAGACCGAAGGCCTGACTGAGGGAGCCCAGAGCCGCAGCACCAGCCGAATGACCAGAGATGGCAGCGCTCAGCAAACTCTGCATATCTGTGCCCACCGCATGATTCCTCAACACATGCAGTGCTTCACCCAGACGGTCATCTAGCTTACTCTGAGGAGAACACACAAATATTCTAGATGAGACTCAAAGACTGTGAAACGTACAACAATCTGGTATACAGCTGCATGCATTTATGCATATGAAAATACATGAGGCACATCCATTTTTAATATTTGTGCATGCATACATTTATATATTCAGTTCCCAGCATAAACGAGTACTCAGTCATTTAAAAACGTCTCCATTTCTGAGTGAATAAGGGTAATATATTTTTGCACATTTGAACAGATTTATTAAACAGATATATTTATTAAAATAACACTTTAATCACTGAACATCTCTAGAAATAGAAAGATAATACAATTAAATTCATGTGAAATATTGAAAAAAAAATTGTAACAAACAACAATATTAAACATATATTTTGTGTATACATTTTCAAATTTAATTAAAAATTTTTCCCTGACATATAAATTTTGGCCACAAATATTTGGACAGTTATTGTTATTCAAGTTATTTTGTTAGATTAGCTCCCGATTTGACTGACTAATCTAATGTTTATGCACAAATATAATACTGTAAAGCATCCTATAGAAAATATTCATTTAAGAGAGATTTGTGAGGGGTGAACTCATGTATGCTGAGCACTGTATATATATTTATGCATGCATGTACAATATGCATGCACGTATATGCCAAAAAGCATGTGCATGCAAATACCCATAATTCTACATATGAAGTTCAGATGCAAAACCCTCTTCTCTTGTAAACAAGCATTTTCTATCAGGTTCCTCTGCTAAGGTTTAGAAGTTTCATTTTATAGATAATGATAAGGTTATAGTGTAATTAGTTGAAAATCACTAAATATCCAGTTAGGAATTATTTTACCAAACACAAAACACTCTAAACAAACCACCTGATATTTTAAATATATAAATGTCAAGTAAGTGGCGGTTCATTACGCTGTGATAAACCAAGGAAAAAGCAAAAGGAAAATGAATGAATGAAATCTGTCAAGTGCATTAAAACTGACATTAATTAAATCTTAACAATCTGCTATCATTTCTGAGATTTGGGATATAGATTTAATGTAAGTAGAGCGATGTAAACATTGCAAACATTGTAAGCTAAGCTTGCTAGATTCGAAATGTGAAAAATCAATATCTGTGCATTGTCCATTTAAATAAAAAGCTTATTAGATCTATAGGTATTATGAAGTAACACAAATAATGTATAGATTTATGCATTTTATTTATCTTTTAAAAATAGCTTACATTAGCAAATAAAACACAAGGTAGGCCTACTTGGCAAAAAGGGGATGCCTCTCAGACACGTTTAGAAGCTGTCATTCATTCAGTCTCACCATACTCAAGTCTTGGTCTCTTGTTTATCCTAATAGCATCCACGTGGGATAAAAGAACGGCATCTTAACTTCGTCTTTTGTGAAATGCAGTTACCGTTTAATGTATAGTTAATCGGACTCAAAGTAGCATCGCTGTGCAAAAAAGCATGATGAATGCATGCTACATTTCCGACTGTACAGTGTGTTTTCTTTTTCTTATAATGCAAGTTTTAGGTAAGGGGCGTTTTCATTTGCTATTCACTGACAGCCGAAACATTTATAATATTTTAGAATAGTCAGGCTTATAAATGAAAATAAAACATTGACTTCTGCTCTCTTTATTAAGTTTCGAAACAACTGATTTTTTTACAACTCATAAAAAAAAAAATTACAAATACCTTAGGAACGGTATTACAGACAATTTTAGCGGTTTTAAAACATTGACTTTTCCAAACCATGGTAAACCTTGAAACCGGTTATTGTCCTGGCTGGAACTGAACATTTCTGCATCTCAGAGCAGAACTGAGCTTTCTATGAATCTGTTTCTGAATGAGTCAGTGATTCACTCAATGAGACAGTCACTTGTTTTCTAAATGAATCAGCCGTCCTGAATGATTTGTGTTTTTTTAATGACTCAATGAACCACATGGCCTGTGCATGTACTTGAGGTTTTAGAGATATTTATTTATTCATGATAATCTTCAAGACTACCAAACCTCTGAATTAAAGATTATTTGGTACGGTCTTCAGTCTACTAAACATCCTTGCATTTATTTCTCCAGCTGAACACAAAAGACGACATTTTGAATGATTTTAAAAATGGGAAGCTATTGACATGGATAGGTTCTTCTGTTTCTACAATAGCAGTTAATGGTTACCAGTTTCATTTTAATCTCATGATTTATTTTTTACATCTGTATCAATTGACAAAAACAATATTTTCTTTTGCCTTCAACAATAAAATTAATAGGTGAATATATTAGGGTAATGCATGAACTAATTTTGAAGGCTCCATCCCTTAAAAAAACAGCATTAACACAATTGCTGAAATCACACCATCAATTTTAAATTCACTAAATAACAAAGCACAAGGGCCTGTGTTTGTTTTCAAGCACTTTCAAGAAGCGTGGGAACTCTGTTACTTATATCATGTGAAAAAGCACAATTGGAGAGCTATGAGCACAAAATCATGCTGTTACACCAATGCACCTCGCTTCAATCACAGCATGATTTACACAGAAAAAAAAAAAAAACATACCTGTGCCAATCCTGCTTCAAAACCAGGCGATGGCGCAGGCTGAGAGGAGCCTTTGGGCCACTGAGATGCAGAGGCTGAAAACACAAACAAACACAGATGTTAGAGAAGCCTGACACTGCATGAGATGTGCAGAAATCATAAAGCAGAGCAAGATCAAACTGTGCTGACAGCATCACACAGCAGATGGCAGTACAGAGTCAGTACAAAGAGAAGAAAACACACCGGCCACATTAGAAGGAGAGCCCACAGGAGTGGACGGCGTCGAGGAGAAGTTGCTGCCATTATTGTCTGATGGATATATCTAAAAACAACAAGAGACATGGGAGAATCAACTACCAGTTCATCACACGACATCACAAAATATATTTAGAAACATGCGTTTAGTTAAAACAGGTTAAATACAGAAATCAGAGAGTGAAACTCAATACCTTTTAAGATATTTAAAAAGGTATTTCCACACATTAAGACCTCATCGCCACTTAAGGTTTCAACCGGTAACATTGGCGACATTTTAACTTGCAGTACATTTACTAAATAGAGAGAGAGTTTTAATTTTATTGCCATTTCAGCTTATATGGCTATGTCATGGCAAAAAAAAAAAAAAAAAACAGATCAAGGTTACCACATTTTATAAATACCACTTTTCTATATATTTTTTTAAAAGTCCTAATAATTAAAAGTCATTAACAGAAATAAATAATACACAAGGTAAAATACATAATAATAATAATAATAATGATAGTATACAAGATAAAAATCTAAAACTGTTTTTCAAGGTTTCCTTTTGATAAAAATTCTACAATTTTAGATGAATTCACATTTAAAAAAATCATTTACTAAATACTAATGTGTGACGATTGAAACTAATTCTAAACTAAAACAGTATTCATTAGGGGTGTAACGATACACTTAGCTCACGATACAATGTGTATCACGATATAATGTTCACGATTCGATATGCATCACGATATTCGTAATAAAAATTTAAAATGAAATGCTAATTTTATTAAAAAATGTTTTTAAATAACCAAGTAAACTATTTTTTATGTATTTCTTTTTGTTTAAACTTCTTTCATTTAAAGTGAACCTTCCTCAAGAAAATAAATCAAACAGGCCTGTCTCTGGAAAATAAAACAATTTTAAAACTTTTTATAAAATATTATTAAAATGACAGAGACAAAATTAAGGAACAATTTAAGTAAAGGTGCAAAAATAATGATAGCTTTCTATTCTAATAATAGCTTTCTATTCTAATAATAGTTTTCTATTCAAGTGAATTTAACAGTAAGAGCTTAAGGCTTTGTTTGGTCACTTGCGTTTTTTTTGCGGAACGTAGCTCACGTGCAAACAGCTCAACTAATAAGAGAAAACAGACGTCATATCGTAATGAAATCGTCATAACGCCACGATGCATATTGTGACATTTTTTGCATCGCAATAAATCGTACCACAATAAATCATTACACCCCTACTATATACTGAATAAACACGATGATCCAGCAATGGACGCCAAAAACAGCCAGTGTCGCCAGATTGGGCGTTTACTGGTTTTGAATTTGATTGAGACCATTTAGGAGGTTTTGAAATATAAATTTGATATGCAACTAATTTAAACAAAACATAACTGTGTTGCTCATAGTCCATTCAGTTAGTAGTGCAAACCGCGTGGGCTCACCCACAGGAGGAGGTGAGGGAAAATTGCATCAAAATCTCCCCAGACAAATCTGTCTCTCTACAAATCAGACTCCCCTTCGCGTCTACGCGCATCTCGCAGCACTTTATCATAACACTTTATCGTTTTTTTTTTTGCAATTGGCAGCAAGAACAAACACAGAATTGTTATCTGATTGACAAGCGCACCTACATGTGTTCAAAAGAATTTAAAACACCAAATGGGACGAATTTATACCCTATTATGAAAGTAAAACATACTCTAATAGGTAGTGCAATCTACAACATGAAGTGCAGTGTGTCGGTGAGAGGAGGCAGTGTTTCGGTATGTTGTGGTTCTCTGACTGTTGGTGTTGGCTGCTGTATGGTTAAAAAATTCTGATAGTTAAAGTAACCAGGTTAATTTCGATTTAAATACATAAAAATTATTTAATTTTCATGAATTATGCTTATCATTCTTCTGTCTTGTTTTTTATAATGTTTCTGCAACATATTGTAAGGTGCCCTTGAGAGCTTTGAAAGGCGCCTATAAATAAAAGGTATTATTATTATTATTATAATAAAATCAAATATTAATCAATTTTTTTTGTGCATTTGGTCGGGGTTTGGACAGCTTTTGGGCTGGAAAAAGTCAGCTATATCTCATAACACTGATAACAGCAGGAATAATACTGTAACCTTGGTTTATATTGATTTCATAAACTGCACAGCACCCAAATATTCAGATTAAATTCAGGCACACTTTAGCATTCAGATACAAATTTTAATACCTTGTAAAATATAGAAATGTAATACTTTTTAAAGGTCCTTAAATTTCTTTAAATTGACTTATAAAATTTTAATACTTTGTAAGACACTACGAAAACCCTGTAAATAAAAAAAGATCATGGAAAAGCGCAGAATTACTAAAATGACATAACATTTGACATTAAACTCATTCATTCATTCATTTTCTTTTCGGCTTAGTCCCCTTATTCATCAGGGCTTGCCACAGCCTATGTTTTATCCAGCACATGTTTTACACAGCTGATGCCCTTTCAGCTGTAACCCAGTACTGAGAAACACCCTTACACCCTCACACACTATTAGTTTTAGTTCATCAATTCCCCTATAGCGCATGTGTTTGGACTGTGGGGGGAAACTAGAGCACCCGGAGGAAACCCACGCCAACAGTGGGAGAACATGGAAACTCCACACAGAACCGCCAACTGGCCCAGCCAAGGCTCGAACCAGTGACCTTCTTGTTGTGAGGTGATCATGCTACCCACTGCGCCACTGTGAAGCCTGAGAAAATCTATATAAATGACATTATATATATATATATATATATATATATATATATATATATATATATATATATATATATATATATATATATATATATATATATATATATATGTATATACTTAAATAAATAAGGTAAATCATGTTTTCGCATTTAAATGTAGACATTTGGAGTTGAAACAAGACAAAAATTAAAGTTAGCTTTTTTGAATAAATTCTGTATAAATATTTAAATACAAATAGTCCAAATATTAGGGGTGTCAAAATTAATCGTTTCTTCGGTGCACCGCAATGCAGACGCGGACAATTCAGTATCGGTTCAGTAATAATCATAACCGGTTATTACTGAAGTCATTTACCTTATATGCGCTCTGTCACGAGGGAGACGATCGCGAGTATTTACAGCGCTTTAACTACTTAAAACTCATAAACTGTGCACAATTTCACTGTGTGTGTTTGCTGGATCATTCTTTCACTGACATATAAAAAAAAAAAAAAAAACCTATTTCACTGAGATCGAGAGAATGAAAGTACTTCATTTCTTTCTCTCTCTCTCTCTCTCTCTGTCTCACACAAACACACACAGTGGCCCATTTGACCTGCTGGCGTGGCTTTTCTTCTCCTCTCGGCTGTTTTACAGCGTTACTTCTGGATAAAGAAACGAGCGCGTGTCTGCAGAGTTTTCTCCACCGTGTCTATAATACATCTGCTGTAAATCGTCGCTGCCGCCTGCCGCTTATCAGTGTCACTCATCTCTGAAGAGTGCAGCGCGCAAAAGCCAATCGCAACCGCTTTTGTTGAGGGTGTGACCAATCAAAGAGGTGTAAGAGAACTAGACAAGGATCAGAAATTGAGCTGGATATTTATATTTGTTTATTTTATTTGCTAAATGCTCGTTTTGTTTAAAGTTACAGGTTATATATCTGTTTGTATTAAATGACAAAATTGTACTACAAATAGTATATAAATATAAATATATTCATACATTTCAATACAAGAACTGCTGCTGTGAAGAAAATATAAAACTGTGTATGAAAAACACCGTCAATGCACCGAAATATCGAATTGAACCGAATTGGAGGCATGATAATCGTAACCGAACCGTGAGACTAGTGTAGGTTCACACCTCTACCAAATATCATAGATTTTTGTGCCTAAATGCTTTAAACTCTTAAAAACACATGCAAATGATATAGTTACACTCTATATTGGTTAACATGGCAGTGACTCTACAAACCACACGTGCTCTGTGGCTCCTGGTCAACTACAATTCAGACTCAACACTGCATATCTCGCGATATGACTATTGCGATGGTGAAATTATATATTGTGCAACATTAATACCCATTTACACACAACAGCTAGAAAATACCCATAATGCACTTTTACTTCATAAAAGTAATGCTTACAGACATAACAGAAACATGACAGAAAAAATAGCACGCTGAATGTTAAACAACCTTCACAGGAACTAAATGAGAAGAGCAAAATCTAATCCGTCTAAGGGGAATTATAAACCAGCCTATAACTATTATAGGAAATAGTGAATAAGGGTTGATATGAGGGGGCAATTTCAAATACGGTGTTAGGTCCCATGTGGGACCTGTTTGTATGTGTCTTTTTGTGATTTGCAGATCCTGCATGATGATTGCAGATTGGTGGGTGGGTCATCTCACCTGAGACCCATTGTGTGGTGCTTATAAGGAGTCCGGCATTCTGTCTGAGGAAAGAGCTCGATTAGCCGGACGTCTCTGCTTGGCGGTTTTGATTTATTTTAGTTTGTTTTTGGATCATGAGCTCAGTACACTACCATACACATGCTTTTCACTACTGACTTCCACTTATACTGACTTTGATTGCTTTAAATAATTTTGTTAATTATACGTTCTGCTAATAAATCATTTCTCTTTTCAATTTACCTGGTCCGTATCGTCTCTCTAATGTTGCAACTTTGAGCCGGTTGTAGCATACGGCAACCGTGAATTATTACATGATTTATTCTGAATCTTCAGACTCACCGAAGCCAGAGCTTTCCCGATCTCTGCACCGGAGCTGCCAGCGTTTGCTCCTCTGTTTCCTGCATTGACAAAAAATAAACGTGTGAGAGTAGTATTTAATACATGTATATCGACAGGAATATATTTTTACCAGACTTGAATAGCTCAATTTGGAAAGAATTCATAATTTTACAGTGATTATTAATGATCTAGCGCAGGGGTGTCAAACTCAATTCCTGAAGGGTCGAAGCTCTGCACAGTTTAGTTCCAACCCTGCTCCAACACACTTACCTGTAGGTTTCAAACAAGCCTGAAGGACTCAATTAGTTTGATCAGGTGTGTTTAATTAGGGTTGGAACTAAACTGTGCAGAGCTGCGGCCCTCCAGGAACTGAGTTTGACACCTGTGAACTAGTAGAACAGATAATCTCCATTTTGTATAGTTTATTTGGCAAGGCTAACTGTATTTAAGTGTTCTGATTAATCAAATGTATGTAAATAACACTGCATAGTCTTTATTGCACAAAAACGTAAAATACAAATACATTAAAAAACACCAACTAATGGTTTAAATGCACTTGAAATATTAGCCATGGGTCTTACAGGGACAGTTCACCCAAAAGTTAAATTAACTCACTATTTACTCTAACCGTACGTTCACATCGAAAGCAGAGAGAGCGTCCAAGGTCGCTCTGGCCGCCTCGGCGACAACGCTGTCTGCCTTCAGCTCCTGCGGCGAGAGCGTCAAAACTCGCTACACTGATCTCGTATTTAAAGGAGCCGTTGCAGCATATCAGTTACATTCCTGCATAAAACATGTTTCTAGCGTGAAAATGTAGCGCAGTTCTTATCAAATACATTTAACAATGGAAGATCAAGTTGTGTGTGCTGTGGCTTTGCTCTATTTATCCAATATGTGTCCATATGTCTGAAATATCCTGAAGCAGCAGTACTGTTTTGTAGGGATGCACCGAAATGAAATTCTTAGCCGAAGCCGAATAATAATAAATTGCTTGGCCGAAGGCCGAATACCGAACGCTGTGTTTTGCTTTTTTTCCATTTAGTTTGCCAATTTTCACCATTACAATAATTAAATAGTAAAAATTAGCTTTTTACTATTTTGTGTTGCTTTTCAGAGAAATAAATCAAATACCAAAAATACAATTTTAAAAATATTTATTCAACACTGAACATTTTTTTAACATTCCAGCAGATAATATACAAACAAAGCACAATATAACTTAAAATAAATAAATTAGTAAAATAAAAAAATATTTTTATTTGGCCATCTTTGAAGCCCCCCTTCTTGAATAGCCTATGTTAGGCCTATAACTGACTGCTGAAAGAATGTAACTGTATGTCTACAACAACAAATGTGCATTGAATAGTGCAAACAATGTGGATGACAACAAATGAATAACTGTGCTAGACATAAGCCTACTTAGCATACTTCTTCAGGAAAAGTGGCAGGTTCTTCTTTATAAAAAGTAGCTTCTCTGCTCTCGCATGAAAGTCGGTTCTTCTTCTCATCGATGACATGAGATGCAGCACTAAACAGTCTCTCGCTGTCGGCTGTCGGTGCGCAGCTCATCTGTAGTACGAGCCCGTTTACTCTCTGTTTTCATCTCCTGCGCTGTGCATCACCTGACCGTCTCCAACACCTAGCGGCTTTCCCAAGTCCAACTCGGCCTGGATCATTTCTCGTGTGCGCAGCTTTTTCCCCATATCCAAGTAATGATCTCTATATCGTGGATCAAGCACAGTCGCGATGCAGTACAGGGGTTCTGAGTCCGCCTGACTAAATCGTGCGCTGACAGCTTCTAAGAGCGCACTTTTAGCTGTTTTCACTCCGTGGTCTGTTTCAGCCTCTTTGTTTAAAAGACGCTTTAGTGCTGCAAGTAAATGTTTGACATCGAGCTTATCTCTTTTGTTATCTGCTCAAAGGGGGCAAGAAGAGAGAGAACGTTCCTCTGGACAATTCAGCAGAACAGTGTCTGCAAACGGCTGTTTTTGCCTTTTTCTCTGACACTTTAAAGTGCTTCCACACTGCTGACATGTTTGCTGCATAAAGCCTGATTTATACTTCTGCGTCAGGTGACCGGCGTGACCCACGGCGCATGCAACGCGCGTGGCTGTGCATTTATACTTCTGCGTGCTGTCTCTGTCGGTCTGCATTAACACTTCCGAAACGCTAGTTGGTAGTGAGGTGTAAATGTTCCTCTGTGTCGAGTTTCTTCTCTGGTTTTTAGATTTTCCTGAACACTTCCGGGATGTACAAGTGGCTCAAACTCGCTCATTTTGAGGCAGGAACCGGCGGACGTGCAACAACTTTAACTATGAGGTAAACACAGAACAAAACTTTCCATCGGGAGCTCCTTCACGGGACTCCACACTTGTAAACAATCGCTTCTCGTCAGCGCTACCAAGCCGACCAATCACAGAGCTTACGCTACGCGTTGTTGCGACGTGTAGTTACATTTTTTGAGAGGTGCACGTCAGTGACGGCGACGGGCACGGCGAAGGGCTATGCGTCAAGCGCCGTAGCATACGCCGGTGTTTGACGCAGAAGTATAAATCAGCCTTAAAGCGTGCGCCTCTAACTCTACGCGGGTTACTATTTGGTCGCGTCATTAAAAACGTCATTGTTCGGCAAAATTTATTCTGCCTTTTTACTATATATTATTATATTATTAATTATATTATTATATTATTTATTATTATATATTAATATATTATTAATTTTGGTTGCCGAATATTTGGTGCATCCCTACTGTTTTGTACCGTCACGTCACGTGAGATTCCCGCTTTTTTAAGATAAATATCTATAACATTAATGCACATTAGTAACTCGCCAGTAACTTATTTAATGCATGATCCTGTAAGAAAACATTCTAAATAATTGGAAATCCTGCGACCGCAATCATCAAACCCTTGATGAAAAGAACAACTGTGGTCGGAACCAAAGTTCACAGGTCTGTGTTCTTTGAACTCCTCTCAAGCGGTGGACGTCTTCATTCTGATTGGTTGCCGCCGAACCGCGTCATAGCTCATTACCATAAAATTGACTTGATTTCAATTCTCCTTGACGACCACACCAGCGAAGACGCGCCGCGCTGCTCCTCGCCGCCAGCTCTCATTAAAAATTAATGACTTACGGCTAATTTGACGCTCTCGGTGTGAACGTACGGTAAGTGGTTATAGAACTTTGAGTTTGTTTTTCCTACCACAGAAGTCAATGGTTAAAGATCTACAACATTTCCTAAGCAATGGATAATCTTAAATTGACAATGTTGCTGAATTAGTATAGGGTGCAGCTGTGTTCAGTGCTGTTACCCATGATGCCTTCGCTGGAGCTGATGGGTGGTGTGTGGTTGGGAACGCCGTAACCTGCAGGAACCGAGTGGAAGCTGGAGGGTAAATTGACCTCGCTGCCGTGAAGAGGGTAATTCTGCGGAGACACCGGCAGCGGCTGACGCTTCTGCAGACACACAGCACAAATACGATATATGTAAGGAATAATTAATAAAGAGATGTTAAGTTATTGAGTCAGCAAAAAGGTCGCCATCAGTTGGTGTTTCTGTGTGGAGTTTGCATGTTCTCCTCCTGGTGCTCTGGTTTCCCACAGTTCAAACACATGCGCTATAGAGGAATTGATCAACTAAATTAGCTTTAGTGTATGACTGGTGTGTGTGAATGTGAGTGAGTATGGGTGTTTTCCTAGTACTGGGTTGCGGTTAGAACGGCTGTGTAAAACATATGCTGAATAAATTGGCGGTTCATTCCACTGACCCAAGAAAGGGACTAAGCCAAAGGAAAATGAATGAATGTTAAGTTATTACCCATAAAACTAGGTCCACATGGAATTGGTGCATCCATATATCTGCAGATTTTTTAGCACATCATGAATCGGTTTACTTATGTAAACGTACAGTTTTATTAAAACTGAATTAATTAATTTGCCCCCCTGTTAATTTTTTTTTTTTTTTCAAACTATTTTCTAAATGATGTTGAGGAATTGTTCACAGTATTTCCTCTAATATTTTGTCTTATTTGTTTTGTTTGGGCTAGAATGAAAGCAGTTTTTAATTGTTTTAAACCAATATTATTCTCCCCTTTAAGCGATATTGGTTTTGGATGGTCTACAGAACAAACCACTGTTATACAATGACTTGTCTAATTCCCTTATTTATGTATTATGTATTTTCTACGAAGGTTATGGTTTTATGGTGTTGATAAGAAAATCATGTACTTATTTCATCAAGCTTTGTTTGAAAGTGTTATCAGGTATGGTCTATCTACATGGTATGACAATCTTTCTGTAAATATGAAATAAAAAAAAACAATATTAAAAGAACTGCTACAAAACTATTAGGATCTGAATCTTTCACTAGTATACAAACACTCTCTGAGCAATGCACTCTGAATGAAGCGAAAAGAATTTTAAGTAACCCATCTCATGTACTCTTTCCATTTTACGATCTTTTACCTTCTGGCTGAAGATACAGAACTTTCTGCTGGAAGCTAAACAGACTTAAGCACTCTTTTATTCCAGTGTCAATCAGACTGTTAAACACAGACCGATAATGTATGTAATTCTTTTGCATGTTGGCTTATTTTTAATTGTCATTGTGTCACAAGTGCTGTGTGAGTCCACAGAAAATTTCCCCTTGAGGGACTATAAAGTATACAAACAAACATGAAAACTGCTAGAAAAACTTTTCTTTCCATTAAACAGAAATTGAGGAAAAAATATACAGTGGTGGCTAAAAATTCTGACTTCAACTGCATATTTACTAAGTTTTTAATGTCAGTAATATTAACAACTAATATGCAAATGTGTATATGGTTTATGTACAACAGAGTCTGTAAAGTAATATTTTTTACCTTTTAGTAGATGTATTATATTAGAGACTTGCTTTGTTTACCAATCGAGTGATTCTAATAGAATTTGCATTTTAAACCCTTAAATAAAGTAAAAACGTTTTTTTTTTTATTTAATCTTTTACTTATTGCACAAAATCTGCACATTTATGCTCAACATTTTGCGTAAAAATATCCAGATTCTGTCTGGCTGCCCATAACCCCGGGTGTGCATTATGCTCTAATAATTCCATGGCCATAAATTGCATTATTCTGCTTATGGTCCAGCTGCAGGCGCTGTTCAGATGTTGTATTTCAGACATTTATCCTCAAACTGCTCCTGTGTGTAGGACTAGCTTCTTACTAGAGGTTGCACAGACTAGGCATTGAGCAAGATTGAGCATCTTTTTGACCCACACTATTATGGCGGTAAAATATGCATTTGGACAGGACTTATTCACAGGCTTATTCACCTTATTCTCCATCGACGAGTAGCCGCTGCCATTAGAATCTTTTTGGTTAGAGACTTCCGGTCTCATTCACTTCCATTCATTTTTAGACGTTAAAAACTGCTCGTTACGCTGCTTGATGTTGCAATTTGATATTTTCCTATTATATTATTCTACTTGGTCTGTATAGTCATGCAAACATTTGTTTGTAGAGCAAGTAGTTTGACCGTTTTCTGCCGTTTATTATTCCTAGTCATTTCTCCCATAGGCGACTGAATCAGAAGTTCTAAGACAATCACGAAAACAGGCGCACTTCCGCAAGGTCAATAGCATTTGTCTTTTGTGTGTTCTTATGAAATAACTTCCCATTTTACACAAAAATATTTGTATATTTGTTAAATTCTTAGTAGAGCATGCCACGATCATATGTTAACTGCATTTATTTTGCAGTAAAATTAGCCTGTGCTTAAGTTGCATTAACAAAATGAACACTGTTAACAATGCATTTGTTTTGCACTGTAAATTGTCATTGGTAGCGTTGCATTGTTTTCACAACACGTTATGAGGTGTCAAACAGCATGCGAGTATAGTTTTCCTGCTAAGATTGTTGTCTGGTTTTCTGTAGTTTGTAAAATATGTATTTAATAGTGTGCTGTAACTTGTAATCACGTATCTATTATAGATCAGTGCTTGTACTGTATCTCTCAGGTTAAATCTGTATGGGGCTCTTCACATATTGCGTCCAAAACAACGTTGAAAACACGTCGAGTGCTTCTTTCTTTACCAATTTAAATACGCTTTGTGCTCAAAATCTTTTGTTGTTTGTCTTTGCTATAGCTGTTTCAACACACACACATGGCGCTATCAATTTTCAAAATAGTTCAACTTTTGCCACTGTGTGGATTAATACTGCTGTGTGTTGTTGTTATTATTTGGGGTTAAGAATAGAGGAATATGCTGGTGTTTAACTGCATTACTTTATTGCATTCCTGTGTTGGCCTCACACATATACTCTGTGCTCCGACCACTTCATAGCCATGGTGGGCATTTCTCTCAGTCTTGTGCTGAACCCAGTCGACCAATCACAACAGACTTAAGAACAAATGAATCTCTGAACAAATTATATGGGAGTTGCTGGGAAAATTCAGTAAAAATAAATGCAATAAGACAATGAAAGTGTTTTTTGACCTTGCATACATATCAGTCTGTTGTTGGGAGACCTCCAAAACCAAAATATGACCTTTTATAATGCATAACAGGGGCACTTTAATGACGTAAAGCTAATAACTTAAGTAATTCAGCCCTTGTTTCTTCCACACCTCATCTCCTCCAAAGCCTTCTGTTGTGTCTTGATGTGATTTTTGACTGTTGCAGCTGTGAAATATCTGATAATCATTTAGCGCATTGATATGGAGCTCTAATGCGCTCAAAACCTGCCGGAACTACTTTAGCTGAAAATAATAGCACACCTTAGAATGCTCATTAGCAAATCAGAATCAAGCATTTAACAGAACCATCGTGTGTGTTTTTGTATTTTATTGGCCGTAAAAATTAACGAATTGAATATATTTGGCCATAACAGAACGTCTCGTCTTTGACCCTCGTATATGTAGTATTTCTCATCCGCTGGTTCAGCATCAGGAATGTTTGATTGCTTTTCCACATGAAGCTCTGAAGTAATTAACTGCATTTTTCTCTGCGGTTTCTGGCTCATCAGAATGGGAAAAAATATCCAGATGACTCCATTAGGAGATATTTTTTGACCAAATGAATCTGAGATCATGCGGGTATTTTAGAAACTTGAATTTAATCCCCAAAACACATTCAGAGATGAGCTCACCTGTGGGTTTATGAAGTTGCTCATGACCGGAGGATATCCAGACTGACCCCAATGATCTGGAAGTCCTTCTGAAGACATAAAAACAAGACCAGATTCAAGACCAGAACAACAAAAACGAGATCCACAAGACAACAGCTTAAAGAAAATACTGATCTTACATAGATATAAAATAAACACATAAGAATTATTACATTTATCAATCATATTATGTGATTAATTATTAATCTCATTAAGCAATCAACTTAATATTTAACAAAAAAATATATATATTTAATATAATAAAATCTAATATATAATATATAATATATATAATATATATATATATATATATATATATATATATATATATATATATATATATATATATATATATATATATATATAATATTTTCAAAAATGTAATATTTTGTCTATTAAACTAAATATTTGACATAACATCAATTAATTTATAATTTCAGCCTTTCTATATTTACTTTTTGGACATAAAAAATTATTAATTTGTATATTAAAACTAAATATTTGAGACAATTAATTTATAATTTCAGCCTTTTTTATTTTATTTCCTGTTTGCATATTTACAAATTGAAAATTTTAGATTCTCAAAAATGTAATATTTTTCCTATTAAACTAAACATTTGGCATAACATAACAATTTATATATAATTTCAGCCCGACTTTTTTATTTCCTATCTGCTGCAGATTTTATATGTCTGTAAAGTGCCTTGAGATGCTACTTTTTAAGACACTATGTAAAAATTTCACTTTATTAATATTATTATTATTACCATCATCATTACTATCTACAGCAATATTTGTTTACTTTCTTCAATATAAAGCGGAACCAGTTTTGTTTTTACAAATATTAATTTTCAAAATAGGGTGTAATCATTTATGCTGTGCACTGTATATGCAATCTATCTATTTATCTAAGAAAGATGCTTTTAGTTTTATGCCTTTACATAACTATAATTACACTGAAACACAGTGGGAATCAAATGTTTTCAAAAAGTTTTCACTAAAGTGATAAATATTAAACGTTATATAAACATATACATGCTATATAAAAATGCAGGCAGCAATTTATAAATCATAATTGCATTGAAAGGAAAAAAGTAATTAAACTACAAAATAACTAAATATAAAATACATTTTTTATTAACTATTCTGTTCCCTGTATAATTAGTCTATTTAAGTAAAAATGATTTTAGCTTTATGCTTTTTAATAACCATAATTACACAAACACAACCTGAAACAATTTTTTTAATGTTTGAATGAAATTCCCTAAACTAATAAATATTAAATGTTTATATAAAACTGCATGTGGCAATCTAGAAATATATTGAAAGGGAAAAAATAAAATAAAAAATAGATATATAAATATTGGACACATTTTTATACAGTGCACTGTATATATAATATGTCTAAGTAAAAAATGTTTTTAGTTTTAGGCTTTTGGATAACTAGAATTACACTGAAACACAAACTGAATTAAATATGTAAATGTTTTAATTAAGCTTTCAAAATTTAATAAAAATATATGAAATTTACATAAAAATGCATACAGCAATCTAGAAATCATTAACATTTTAAAAAGGAAAAAAATATATAAAACTACTAATTATATAAATAAATCAATATAAAATCCATAATAAGTTCTAATAAAATATAATAGAAAAAGTAAATAAATTATAATCATTTTTAAAGGAAAAAAAGAGATAACTACAACATAATAAAATATAAAATAAATAATAAATAAAAAATATATATAAATTCAAATAAAAATGAAAGTAAATAAAATATAATTCAAATATTCAAATATTTTCATGACGTTTTCAGTGAATTAATAAATATTAAATGTTTACATAAAATGCACACAGCAATCTAGAAATCATAATCATTTTAAAAGGAGAAAAGAGATAGAACTACTAAATAAATAAATAAAAAATAAATAATAATAAATTCAAATAAAACGTAAATAAATTCAGATAAAAATAAATGCAAAAACATCATAATTTTAAAAGAAAAAAGATAAACAAACAAAATAAACAAAACATATAAAATATTTTTTTTTAATTCAAATATAAATATATTCAAGTAAAAATAATATATATATATATATATATATATAAATTAAATGTTTTAACTAAATTAATAAACAATAAATGTTCACATTAAATTCATGTAGCTATCTAGAAACCATAACTTTAAAAGGGACAAAAATAAATAAATAAATAAATAAATAATAATAAAATAAATAATAAATTAAAATACAATAAAAAATATATTTTAATAAAATAAAATAAAAAATTCCCAAAACGTCCAGTCTGTACAAACCTTGCACATTAAAAAAGCCTGGATAAAGGTTTCCAGGTTTGGATCCGGGGTATCCGGCGCTGTCCTGGTTATAATCGTCACCAGTAGAGCCTGGATACGCCTGAAAACAGAGGAAAGGAAAAGCTGTATTGAGCTCTTGCATGTGACGTGATCATCCAGAAGATGTGGTTTTGCTTCAGCCACAGAATGTCTGCATGTGCATTAAATTAGGAAACATTCATCCCAGATCAGAGAACCAATCCTGACTCAAGGGAAAGTCCAAAATTAGGACGCAGACTAAAATAAAAACATACAGAAGAGCCAGAATAACCCTGACAGGATAAAGGCCTGCGACCTAAGTTAACACTACTGAATAATACTACACACACACACATATATATATATATATATATATATATATATATGTTTTTAAACTGTACCTAATAAAGTGGCCGGTGAGTGTGTGTGTGTGTGTGTGTGTATGTGTGTATATATATATATATATATATGTGTGTGTGTGCGTGTGCGTGTATACATACACACACACTCACCGGCCACTTTATTAGGTACAGTTTAAAAACCACAACTGCTTGTTAACACTGATAACAAAAAGCTTGCTAAAAATGACATTCATTTAGTTTAATATACTAAAACAAGTTAAATTGAAAAATAAATGAATACAAATAAAATATTAAAAACAAAAGTGCTTATATAATAATAATAATAGTAATAAAACAATAATAATATTATATAATTATAAATAATATACCACACGTATTTCTACTGGTAAATCAATAATTTTACACTTGCTTAAAAATATTCAAGTATGTTTGACATCGAGGATGAATCATAATATATTTAATACTATAACTGAAATATAAATTAATAAAAAAAATAGACCGACGAAATAGCCAAAAGCAGTATATTTACATACAATTATGATAATAATAAGAATATAATGGGTGAAAAATTAAATACAAGATAAATACAAAAAAATTAAGTTACTTGCCAAAACAACCTTTTAATGGGGTTTTATTAATAAAACTAAAAAATACAAATAAAATCTTTAAAAAAAAAGTGATTATATAATAATAATAATAGTAATAATTATAGTAACAACAGTAATAATAATCAGATATAACAATAATAATAAAATATATACAATGTGTATTTTCACTAGTAAATCAATAATTTTACACTTTTTAAAAAAATATTGCAATATGCTTGACATTAAGGATGAATCATAATAAATTTATTAACTAGCATTTGTTGCCCAAAATCTCCAGCTGTTTTGGCCAAATAATAAAGCACCCAATTTAAAACATGTGATTGAAAAGAGCTTTTTTTTTATTATTATTAAAGACGACTTCTTTATTGAGAAATTTAACAATTTTAATGGACTTCTTTTTTCCTCAGGTAATCGCACACAAAGACGTCACGAAAACACGAAACAAAAGAAGAAAACAACAACAACGCACGCCTGTCTAACTGTGAAAGAGTGTTAATATTATAAACACCAGCAAATTACAAGCCAATTAAACACAACAAAGAGGTGAAATATAAGCAATGTTCCAGCGATCTGATGTCAATGATGGAGAAAGAAGCCAAAGAAAAGCATCAAGCAGAAATAAAGCTGAAGAAGATGCATGAACACAAGAAAGAGAGAGAGAGAGAAATGAGGAGCGAGAGAGACTCTTTCCCAATTACAGAGCCATCTGTCCAATACTGGAGTCCAGCCAACAAAACCGACAGCTGGAGACTCAGAGAAGCAGACCACCAATACAGAGAGAGACAATGAAAAATACTGAGAGCATGAATAAAGATGCGCAGAGAGGAAAACAGAAATACATTTGATGAGCATGAGAAACAAGAACTGCAATGTTAAAGAGTAATGGGTTTTCTCTCTTCGCTTTGCTTCATTTGTTGTGTTTGTATATTTATATACAGTTTAGACCTCCTGAATTATAAGCCTCCCTCTATATTTTTGTTTAACTGAGAGGTTTAACACATTTCTAATCATAATAGTTTTAATAACTCATTTCTAATAACTGATTTCTTTTATCTTTGCCATGATGACAGCACATAATATTAGACTAGATATTCTTCAAGACACTAGTATGCAGCTTAAAGTGACATTTAAAGGCTTCACTAGGGTAATTAGGTTAACTAGGGTAAAGTTAGGGACAATCCAAAACAAATATTGCTTAAGAGGACTTATAATTTTGACCTTAAAATGAGCTTAATACAATTAAAAACTGCTTTTATTACAGCCGAAATAAAACAAATAAGACTTACTCCAGAAGATAAAATATTAGAGGAAATACTGTGAAAAGTTCCTGAATCTGTTCAACATCATTTGAGAAATATTTTAAAAAATTAATTCACATGAGGGCTAATAATTTTTACTTTAACTACACTCCCTGACAAAAGTCATGTCGCAGATGCAATTTTAATGAACAGCAAATAATATCTTGACTTCTAGTTGATCATTTAGTATCAGAAGTGGCTTTTATAAAAGGCCTCTAGATGACGCTTATTTGAGCACAATAAAATATGATCATGTCTTGATTATTAATGATTTGATTAGGACAGTAAGATCTGACTCTGCTTAGACTAAAGTCTCATCACTGAACAGAAATAATGTCCAGTATAGAATATAAAGTCCTGCTGCAGTGGAGACAGAATGAATATTGTGTCTGACTCCATCATGAGCTTGGAGGACTGCATCCATACATCTCTGACATGACTCAAATCACTGATTAATAAAGTCATCTGGAATGAAGAAGAAAGCGTTCAGCAGGACTCCCAGAGTTCATCAAGAGTCTTTGTGTTCATCTTCAATACCTCCTCCTTCATTGTACCCCAGACATGCTCAATAATGTTCATGTGTGGTGACTGGGCTGGCCAATCCTGGAGCAGCTTGACCTTCTCTGCTTTCAGGAGCTTTGATGTGGAGGCTGAAGTATGAGAAGGAGCGCTATCCTGCTGGAGAATTGTCCCTCTCCTGTGGTTTGTAATGTAATGGGCAGCACAGATGTCTTGATACCTCAGACTGTTGATGTTGATCATCCACTCTGCAGATCTCTCCATACTGAATGTAACCCCAAACCATGATTTCTCTAATACCAAGCTTGACTGATTTCTGAATCTTGGATCCATGCTAGTTCCAGTAGGTCTTCTGCAGTATTACGCCCCATTCACACTGAGCTTTAGCGTCAACGCTTGACAGAAGGCGTGTCTGAAGCATTGGCAGCGTCAGCCAAAGACATTCAGTCAGCAATAGGCCACTGTCTAGCTAGTGTATTTGCATACAGCGATCTCATTGGCTGACGCTTCCATCGGCACTTGAAAAGTTGAGCTAGTCCCAACTTCTGCAGCGAACAACGCCTCTGAAGCGGCGCCGACGGATCCACAATGCAGTTCGGCAACGCCTGACGTCACTCATTCACTTTGCGTTGACGCTGACACCTCGTGTAAATGGCGCGTCAGTGATGATTGGGATGCAGATCAACAGATGATCCATCAGAGAAATCCACCTTCTGACACTTTTCCAAATGATCAACTAGACGTCAAGTTATTATTCGCTGCTCTTACAACTGAGATCAAAGACAAGGCATTTGTCAGGTAGTGGATATATGATGTGTATATTTGGTGTTATGTTTCTATTTTTAAATAACAGATTAAAAGTAGCTCTTCTTTGCTAATTCTAGCACATTTTACAGCAATGTTGATTGATGTAATGTTAAACAAATAAACTAAACAACAAATTAGTATTTGGCATTCTAAAGAGTCCTAATGTTATGTTGGAGTCACCTATAACAGATTTAAAACACATCTAAGGTCAGAAAACTGCAATGTTTTAAAATGGGTTTATTATTAGAGTCATTTTGTGAGGATTTTTAATTAAGTTCATTTGAATCAATAAAGAGTTTAAGGTCTGATGACTGACTGAATTGTTTTAATATTTCTGAAAACTCAAAAGCACATAAACAGTTGTTTAATTTACCTTTTGACCTTTTTCCACTTCAGCAACAATCTGACGCGTCTTTAAAATGAGGCCAAGCTTTAATATACACGCTAAAGCGTTGAAGATTGGCAATCATTTAAGTTCAACATTAATTTTTCGATGACAGTTATAGGGTTGAAATAAAAGTTTCACTGAAAATTCACAGAAAAGTGATTTAAAGGGACCTATTATGCAAAAATCACTTGTGTAAGGGGTTTAAACACAGTTGTGTGGCAATAGTATGTGATTATAACCAGCTTCTAATGGTAACAAGCTATTAATTGTATTGTTTATAATCAGACCTTATTCACCTTATTTTCCGCCGACGAGCGGGCGCTGCCATTTGAATCTTTTTGGCTCGAGACTTCCGGTCTCATTCACTTCCATTCATTTTAGACATTAAAAACTGCTCATTACGCTGCTTGATGTTGCAATTTGATATTTTCTTATTGTATTATTCTACTTGGTCTGTATAATCATGCAAACATTTGTTTGTAGAGCAAGTAGTTTGACCGTTTTCTGCCGTTTCTTATTCCTAGTCATTTCTCCCATAGGCGACTGAATCAGAAGTTCTAAGACAATCGCGAAAACAGGCGCACGTCCGCATTTTAGAATAAGGTCAATAAAGGAAACACTTTAATTGACATTTTCCCTTTATACGTGTCATTAGAGGGGGAAAGCCCCGCCCACTAGAGACCATAACTCTCTTATAAGCATAGTCTTGTTTCTGATGCTGTCACACAGGCATAAGTAGCTCCGCCCTCTTCCTTAAAGGAGCACAATCTCATTTGAATTTAAAGCTACAGTCACCAAAACGCCACAATTAGGATCAAAACCTAAAAGGGTCACTTTCAGGGAGTTATTTGTGTTATTTTTAGCTGAAACCTTATTACACACTCTGGGGACATCAGAGGCGCATTTTTCACCTTGTAGAAAGGAGCATAATAAGAGAATATCGGCAGACTCCCATTATATGTCAACTATATGTCTAATCAAGATGATTACAGAAACTACAGGTTCAGTGTGCTTGTAGTATGTTGTTTCAGCACTACATAGGGTGCATATGTGTGTGCCTTTGGGTCAGACATGAGCATGATAATCTGAGCTCAGACACTTACCGATATGGACGTCGGCAGGCCGTGAGGAACCTTCCTCTTTTTGGGCAGTGGATCTGAAAGGAAAGCAGCATTAGGAAGCCGTCCAGACCATAATTGGATGCCAAAGGCTTTCAAAGTCTGATTTACACTAAAGCCGACATGATTGATGAGCTGATGCAAACAAAGACATCGCACGCTTTTTAAAGACATGAGGGACTCTGTGTTGGTATTATACGTGCGCTTAAACTATAATACATGGGGGAAAATAAAATAAAATAATATTGAAAATGATACAACAAACAGCACTGATCACTTGTTGTATAATATATTAAATCTACATAGTCAAATAATGTACGCTTTATAAAAAGAAAGTAGTATACACACTACTGGAGAGAAGTTCAACATGTACACAAGTGCGGTTTACTTTACAGTATTAATCAGAAATGATGAGCTGCATGAATACAATACCGCACTTCACACTGTAACCAACAATGCATATTATGTCAACAACTATATTGTGTCTAAAATCTCTAAATGAAGACTTTAATATTAAGCACTGTAATTTCACCAGAGACTACATTCATATTTCACTGCACAATACAAATTATAGTCGCACTTTATTTTGATGGTCTGTTTGTTGAATTTAAGTTACATTGGATTTACATGCCAACTAATTCTCATTAGATTATAAGTGGGGTTAGGGTTAGTGTAAGCTGACATGTGCTTGCAGAGTTTCTTATGGTCAGTTAAATGTCTGTATAAGGACCAGTATCAACAGATATTAAGCAGACAGTCTACTAATACTCAAATGGACCATCAAAATAAAGTGTCACCTTATGTATTGTTTAATATCTTTAACAATAATGACAACTTTATAATATGAAATCCTAACTATAACATGGACCAAAAAAATCATCGGACTTTTAAGACTCACCTTTTTAGCATTGCTTTTAACGTAGGATGATCATTTTATTTAACTTTGATTTCTATCTTATGGTTCATATTTTTATTGTTTTTTTTTTTTGCTTTTTTTTATTGTTGTGCTGTTTTGCTTGCCTTGTGTTCTGGAGTTTTGCCTGTAGCACTTTGAGTATAAGAAAAGTAAAAGAAAGTAGTAATTTTTACTAGTCATTTAAGTATTTTTTCCTGCATTTATCAGACTTATTACAAAACATATCTTTGAATTAAATAAATGAAAACCGCTTCAGTGTTTTCAATTACAGTACAGACATTTTTTGTCAGTAAAGTTAACAGTGTTGTAATGGGGGAAACAGTTAATAATTTCATTACCCGTTACTGAAAAAGTAACAACATTAGTAACACCCTTAATTTAGATTAGCCAGCATAAACGGCTATTATCGTCCCCTGTTGGTTCGGCGTGCCCTTACCATGCATCACACCTATACTATATGCCAGTGTTTCTCAACTGGTGGGTCGCGGAGTGTGTGATCAAAAAAACAACAATTAAAGTTTAATTTTTCACTTATTTTGCTTATATCAGACTTTTATTTTGAAATGCGTGTGCGACAACCATACCGTTTGACATGTGAAATTTCGGCACAAGTACGACCCCGAATATGTGAAGTGCAGATTTATATATATTGATGACGAAAATGGCTTAAAGCCTCAGTGTGTCATATGTAGTAAGGTGCTCTCAGAAGAGAGCATGAAACCTTCTAAATTAAAACGACTTTTAGAAACCAAACATCCCAGTTGCAAGGACAAACCTGTGGACTTTTTTTAAAGACGACTCCAAGAGCTGAGGGCATCACAAAAGTGCTGAACATCTTCATGTTCAAAACAAGTACAGGCACTCCGCGCATCTTACTGCTCACTGTGTAGCCAAGGCCAAGAAAGCCCACACAAAAGCAGAAGAGCAAATAACTGGTGATTATTATAAAATGGTTAGGATTATTTCAAGAATTTTACTTTAATTTGCTGGTTTAATCTGTTCAACCAGATCAGTGTTAATGTTTTATTAACAGTTCAATTTAGTTCATGGTAACTGAACCTTTCCTCAAACTAACCACTGTTTACTGTATTTTACATTTTTACTCTGTAATATTAATATAATTTGATACATTTTGTTAAATGACAGCAGTAAAATATTGTTTATTTGTAAGTCTTGGTGATTTTCTTATGATTTATTGGTCACTACTTGTGTATGTTAACAGATAAATACAAATGAATTCTAATTCCTCAAAATATATTTTAGTTCTTAGGTATTTGGGTCGCGGATAGATGACCATGTAAAAATGTGGGTCGCATAGTCCAACCAGTTGAGAACCACTGCTATATGCATCACTATACTATATGCATCACATGGTGCGTTTTTTTTAAGTAGGAAAACCCACATACATATGGACATGGCCTTCAAAGCGCATCTCACCTATACTGGACTCTGCAGGCCTGCGGCGGTGCGGACTGTAAAACTGAGAAGAGCCTTTCATTCCAGGAGGAGAAAGAGCATCAGAAGCTGCGATGTTGATCTCACCCGGCAGGAGCTGCGGCTGACAGAAACACAACACACTTCAGAAGGAGACCAGAATAAACACATAAACATCCAGATCGAACTGCAGGTGTTCATTACCTGTGTGACAGGGTAACCTCGCTCTGATTTACCTGAAAAACATAATGGAGGACAGTTGCATTACCACACTTGGACTACCAATCAAATAGCATCGAGTGAAGAATATACAAATATTTTTAGCTTTTCTTGACATTTTCTATAGCAAGAAACAAGATACTTGGTAAAAGAGGCAGGAAAATGATTTTTTCTTTTAACCAAAAAATCTGTGCGCAAAAAAATCCGCAGATTTTTAGCCTATCGAGTCTATTTATTTATTTACTTGTGTAAATGTGTGCAAACTTATATTTACTCAGTTTTTAAATTAATTTCAGTAATATTATTGAATAATATGAAAATGTTCACATGATTTATTTAGAAATACAATTTATACAGTATTATTTTCTGTTTGAGAAACCTGCTTGGCTTACGAATTAAGTGGATCTAATTGGATTTGCATAGTAAACATTAAATAAAAAGTTATTAAAGCTATTATTTTTTATTTTTTAGTTATGACACTCACAAAATTATTTCGCATAAATCTGCAGATTTTTTTTACAAAATTCTGCGCTGAATCAGCTAAAATTATCTGCAGATTCTGTCTGGCCCTACCTATAGCGCATGTGTTTGGACTGTGAGGGAAAGCGGAGCACCCGGAGGAAACCCATGCCAACACAGGCAGAACATGCAAACTCCACATAGAAATGCCAACTGACCAAGCCGGGACTCGAACCAGCAACCTTCTAGCTGTGAAGCCACAGTGCAAATGCAATTTTTTTTAACATTAAAATTAAAACACACAAATTATGATCACGTTTTATAGTGATAATATTTTTATTTAAGTTTTATTTAACTGTTTAATCACTGAGATAGTTGTGGGAAAATTTCCCGCTTGAGTTTTTATGGTTTTAATTTTAGACCAGTGTGATATGACTCATATAATAATAATAACAATCATCACCATTATCATAAAGTATGTAGAATTTGATAGATAAAATATAGTATAATAAATTATATTCACATGAATTAGAAAAAATAAAATAAAACATCATTATTGAAATATGCAGTATAATAAATATAATACTACTACTATTAATAATAATAAATATTATATATTATATAATAATAATTATATTATAAATTACAAATATTAAATATAATAATAAAAATAATATTAATACTACTACTAATGATACAGTAGGTAGATTTTGATAGTTTCAATATATCGTATTATAATAAAATATATAAAAATAAATGCAAAAATAATACATTATATAAACCATACTGTATAGTTCAATAATAATAATTATAAACTTGAATTTACAATATTAAATTTGTCACACTTTACAAAAAGCTTCCATTAATTAATGTATTTACTAACAAACAATATATGTAAAGCATTAATTAATCATACTTCGTGGTGTACTAATGCATTATTAAAATCCACATTCATGCTTGTTAACATTAGTTAATGCACCGTGAGTTAATATGAACTAACAATGAACAGCTGTATTTTCATTAACTAACATAAACAAATGTGAACCAATACTGTAATAAATGTATTGTTCATGTTAGTAAGTGCAATAACTATCATTAACCAATGCAATCTTCTAGTAAAGTGTTCCCTTAAAATCTAAAATACACAGAAGTGGCTTTATAAGTAATAAAGATTTCAACAAATGCATGCATTAAATATGAATGAGTGTGTTGGTCTGATGGTGATTTATTCATTGACGGAGGTTTGCTGGACTCCATCTGTCTGCGTGATTGACTGAGGTGTGTCGTTTACGGCTTTAAGTCTGCACAGACAACAAACTGCCCCATTATAAATGTCTAAGTGGTAATTAGTTAAAAGCAAACCCCCCCCACCCCCTGCTTTAAAGGCCAGAGATGGAGGCGCTGGATTAAAGTCCTTATGAGGGAAATCCCTGCGTGACCTAAACCTGCTCAGGCCAGCAGGACCAAACACGGCTTTCTGCACACGCTAAACATATACAGATCACACATGCAGATCACTGCCAAACCAGGTCAGACCGATGCACACAAATCACAGTCTGCATTCCTCAATCAAGAACTCATGCATGAGGACACCATCTACACTGAAAGCTGGATTAGTTTAAAGAGCAGCTTCATTTGGGTTTTGGAAATAATTAATTATTTGCAGTTTTTAATGTTAACCATCCTTCAGTGTAAACAGTCTGCTACAGAAATTGTTTATATAAATTTAATATATATATATATTTGTTATATATTTGTACTGACTAATAATAATAATAAAATACATCAATATACATATTATTAAATCTATTTTTAATAAAGGATAGGTATACACAATACTAGGGCTGCACAATATATCATTTTAGCATTGATAGCGCAACGTGATCATTCGCAATAGCCACAAGTGCATGTGTTTTTGAGGTCTGTGACTGTATGAGGATTTTAACAGCATTCAAGATTAGGAAATTGTGCCATTTGTAACTTTAATAACTATTAATTTTAATTTAATATCTATAAAACAAAGGCTATGCAGTCTTATTTAAATCTGGTTATCCAAATGAATAGTTTCTTATTGTTATTGTACCAGCATACTGTTAGACTCCTCAGAAAACAATAACACACTATTTATTTCATTTGTATTTTCTTAATTGCACACATCTATGCTTGTTTATTATAATTTAATATTACTGTATTCATATCGCATTATATAAATTGCAGAAAACGAAAATATTGCAATGTCTGATTTTTCCAATATCGTGCAACCCTACACAATACAATCACATATATTATGTACTAAATACACATGTCTAGTTTGTACACTGTTGGTCATGATTCAATCATTAAACGGCACTAAAACAGTCTAAATCAAAAGTTGTTCATCAAATAAAAGTGCATGATAAATAAATATATAATCTCTCAAAAAAACTGATCTGAAATATCTTAACGACTCTTTTACCAATCTACACCAACATGACAAAAGTAACTGATAATCCCTGCTGATCACAACACAACACTCTGAAATTAGCCTTTCCTTTCAGACAAATCAAAAAACAATCAAGTCAAAACCAGCTTGACCAATCAGAGCAGAGCTGGATTATTAAAGGGAGATGGGTTTACAGAGCTTAAATCCTGGATCGATTCAAACAAGTTTAAAATCCCTGCAGAATGATTCTTTAATGATAGTAATATTACATGCATACTGTTTTCTAACATGAGATGTGTTTGAACGTGCAGGATTAAGACACTAAGGTCATTTTATTTCATGTATGATCATTTTGTTACACCCGTTAAAAACTTTAATTTACAATAAATTTATTAGATTTTCATTTTTGATGTATTTATTTTCAAACAAAAAATCAAACATAAAATATCATTAACAAAAAAAATACATTCAATCGTGGTAGAAAATGGAGTGGGATGAAGCACAAGCTTATTATTTTCCCACCCCATTACCACATACTTCATTCGTCTATTACTTTCACTTATTGCTTCTTTTACGTATCTATTTTTACATGAGACATATTTTATCCTCTTGGCATTTTAGACATATCATATGTTTTAATCCATTTGTACCTTTACATTTTGTAACATAGACCCAAAGAAAAAAATACACAGTACTGCAAATAGCCATTAGTTAAAGTTTTGTCATACCTTTCTCATTTCATCCTTTTTCAATCACCTTCATCATTATATTCATTTAATAATATATATTGATACAACTTTTTAAACTGATTATTACCCTGACATTGTTTGTGAGTCTGATCTCAGTCATACACAAATTTTTAAAAAGTTGTCCTTGTTTTCAACCTCCTAAATTTAGTTCTTCTCTTGGGTTATATTCCACTTGTCATTCTTTAAAAAACTTTTGTATACATTTTTGATGTAATTTATTCCTAGCTTTAAACATAAATTGTGCTGATTTAAATTCAACCAAATCATTGAACTAGAGCAGGGGTGTCAAACTCAATTCCTGGAGGGCCGAAGCCCTGCACAGTTTATTTCCAACCCTGCTCCAACACACTTACCTGTAGGTTTCAAACAAGCCTGAAGGACTCAATTAGTTTGATCAGGTGTGTTTAATTAGGGTTGGAACTAAACAGTGCAGAGCTGCGGCCCTCCAGGAACTGAGTTTGACACCTGTGAACTAGAGTATCTTTACAAAAAAATCTAATTATCTTTACAAAAAAATAAAGGATTTGTATGCTTAAAATACCCCATACCTTCTTTCAGTCTGATTACTTATTTCTACATTGTACTTACGGATGAAACAAGTTGAAGTATTTTAAGTTTTCAGATTTTACAGTGTACAATTATATGAATCAACCTGCGAACCTTCTAAATGAATTACAATGGATTTTGAAACCAAATGATAAAATAATAAGAGCAATTATAAAAGCAAATGTGCTGTGTGAACTTACCGTCAATCTCTAAGTTGTACATGTTGTCATGTTCAGGATAGTGATGGCCGTCTCCATACAGCTAAAACACAAAACATGCAACGTTATACACAAATTAAACCTGGCTGTTTTATAAATTTGAAAATGACTCCAGGTTTATACTTGGTAGTGTATCAAGAACTTCGCACTAAACTGCATTTATTAAAACAAAACATAATTTTATTTATATCCAATTTGAATTTAATCACGGCTTTGGAAGTCTATTTTCAATAAAATTTTTATTAATGCATGCTCAATACAATTTTACGCATAACAAATTAAAATTATAAAATGCCAACGAACACAAAGTCTTTTAATAATATCTGTAAATATTTTTGAAATCTATAGGTAAATTTGCCATCTATCTGTATTAATCTATAAAATATACACAAATACTCACACAACTTTACATCCATTTAAATAATTGTGTTTTTTTTTTTCAATTTACTGATTTTTGTCATTATAAATGTGTGCATTTTTTCAAATGATTGTTTACACATACACACACAATATTAATTGCATGTGTGTGTGTGTGTGTGTGTGTGTGTGTGTGTGTGTGTGTGTGTGTGTGTATAAACATTTGATTGAATTTTAAAAATGCACCCATTTAATGCATATAAATATAAACAAACTACAAAAAGAGAATTATAAATGAAATACAATTATTTAAAGGGACTTGGAGTAAAAGTGCATTTGTATATTTATACACACTATATTAACGTGCAATATCAAATTCAAAGCTCTGATGTTTGCCTACAAAGCGACTTCTGGCCTTGCTCCTTCTTATCTGCTCTCGCTTCTGCAGATGTATGTGCCCTCCAGAAACTTGCGTTCTGTGAATGAACGTCGCCTCGTGGTTCCATCCCAAAGGGGGAAGAAATCACTTTCGCGAACGCTCACGCTCAATCTGCCCAGTTGCTGGAATGAACTCCCTAACTGCATCAGAACAGCAGAGTCACTCGCTACTTTCAAGAAACGACTAAAAACTCAACTATTTATTCTCCACTACACTTCCTAATCTGCAATTGCCTCTCTGAATATCCCACTAACTGTACAAAAAAAAAAAAAAAAAAAAAAAAACTAATACTACTAATACTTCCCTTCTTAGACTTTACAGACCTGACACTTGTTATAGCACTTATTCATTGTTGCTCTTGGTTGTGTAAGTTGCTTCCTTGTCCTCATTTGTAAGTCGCTTTGGATAAAAGCGTCTGCTAAATGACTAAATGTAAATGCAATATGAATATAAAGGGATGTGAAGTAGTGTACAACTGCATTTGTGTATATTTATGTCATTTATAATCACTATATTAACGTGTGAATTATAATTATAAATGTAAAGTAGTATATAAGTGCATTTGTATATATTTATACGCACTGCATAAATATGTGTTCACTATTAATATAAATGGATGTAAAGTTTGATGTAAATTTGTTTATATGTATTGTATTTATACACACTATATGATTGTGTGTGCAATATCAAGCTTCATCAAGTTTAATCAGGGCTTTATTCAAGTTATATTTGAAGGTTTCTGAGTCTAAAAGTAAAGTAGGCCACAGACAGGAGAGGACGGATCACTCACACTTCCTGAGATCAGCACTAGACCAGCAGGTAAACATGAGGATCACTAAACATGATCAACTAATCTCAGCCACCGACCGACTGACCTACTAACACACGTCTCCTGATCTCGCACTCTACACACACACACACACACGGTTTCCCCAAAATAAAGCATCACGAGTCAAAACAGGAGACGTCTTCAAGTGCATTACAGATCTGATCCTGTCGGGTTTGTTTTCTTTAGGGATTAAGGTTTAATGCTTCACCAGAGACGTTATCTCTGTGTGTGTGCGTGTGTGTGTTCATACCCGTGCGCCGAATGAAGGACTGTTTGCTTCTGAACCCCAGGAGCCGGAGCCATTTCTGTCATCTAAACCTGAAACACAAACAAACAAACATCAGTGTGAATAATTTTACCAATTATTATATATCAACATATTTATTTTCACATTTGCAATTTACAGAATCAAATCAATCCACAAGTAAACATTATTTTCTGACAGCCCCTACCCCACCCTTTCTGGACAGACCACTTAAATGGACCTTACTGCAAGGCACTGAGGTGTAACATGGTAAATAAAACCAAACAAACAAGTAAAGAACAATAATAAACAGATTAGGGCTGCACGATATTGGAATCTGATATAACAATATTGAATTTTCACGTGATAAATAATCGCAATATGAATATTTTCAGAAGGTTCTGAGTACAACAGTATTCGGGTAGTGAAATTGAATAATCACAATGCAAAAAAATATCTATATTTTCTTACTTTTTGTCTTGTTTCTAGTCCAAATATCACAAAAAAACCTCAGACAAAGTAAAAAATATTGTTTAGTTTTTCACCGCCTGAAGAAATAAATGCAAATTAAGAGCTTGTTTTAAGAAAATTATAGCTGCATCCCAAATGGCACACTATACACTATGCACTTACACACTCAACAGGACAGTATATGTATGTAGTGTCGTCCCAAATGGAGCGCTAATGTTTTTTTACTAAGTGGAAATTAAAACCGTTTCCCTGATGACGTTTGACGGTTGCCAAATCAGTGAAATAAACGACCGAATTATCAGATAATACCTGCCGTGAGTATAACCGCATTCACCATCAGGAGCTGCTATAATCACTCTTGTAGGAGAATTTTGCTTTCAACATCCAAAATAAATAAAATTATCCAACATGTGCGCCCGATAGCTCCGCCCCTTCCGCTACGTGAGCAAACCTGCGATCGTTGAGTGCGTGAAGTGTCCATCATTACACACTTCATTATACTGGCTGAATGAGTGCATCATCCGGGTAATTCAAGTGCACTTATAATTGTTCGAGTTTCCAGTGTGAACGCACTACTCACACTATTTATACTACAAAATGGCGTAGAATAGTGCATAAGTATGCGATTTGGGACGCAGCTATCAGTGGCGTAGGTAGACATTTGGACTAGAAACAAGACAAAAATTCTAAGTGAGAAATGTTTTTTTGTAAAAATCATATACATTAGGGCTGGGCTGGTAAACAGTATTATATCGAATCGCAAAAAAATGTTTGGTAATAACAAGAAGCTCTGGACTAATTACTCTATATTGATCTGAGAGCCAATCACACAGCAGAAATATGTAACAATGGGACTCTAAATTTGTTTTGATATTAGAGATTGACCAAATTTTCGGTTTTCATTTTATGTTGTGCCATTTAATGGACCCTCTACACCAAAATTCATCCCGCTACGGCTACATTACAGCTTCTCATTCAAAACATTCAGTCATTGTTGTTGTTTTAATAGCGGGTTATAAATCGCACCAAAACGCATTCAAAGGTAAGTAAATTATAACAGCGCAAGCTTTTCTGTAACTGTAGTAGTGCTGTGCGTTATTTGTTTAACCCTTTAAGGTGACGTGCTGACAGACTGACTGACTGACAGGAGCGTGATGGGTGAGGTCGGCAAACACGACGTAGCTTTCAGTTAAGATGAACACAGTTTCCATAATAATACTGTACTTATAGATAAAAGTCTGGGGTTTTGCATTCAATGACTGCACACAATCTTGCTGGAGTTTATAGCCGTTTAACGTTACTTTAGACCAGGGGTCACCAATCCTGGTCCTGGAAGGCCGGTGTCCCTCCAGGGTTTAGCTCCAACTTGCCTCAACACACCTGCCTGGATGTTTGAAGTGTACCTAGTAAGAGCTTGATTAGCTTGTTCAGGTGTGTTTGATTAGGGTTGGAGGTAAAATCTGCAGGACACCGGCCCTCCAGGAACAAGTTTGGTGACCACTGCTTTAGATGCATTAACGCCGCACTGTAGGTCTATTGGAGAAATTCATAAATATTCCTAGCAAATCTTACAAATGTTGGAGACATACTCACTACATAAACGCACTAAATCGCACTTCAGCAGTGTTTATTTGAGAGCGCACAAGAAGATCTGCACTTGAGCAGCGTATACTTTAGGGTGCGCAAGACGTTTTGTGCACGAGCAGAGGAAATCTGCGCGCAAGCAAAGAGATTCGCATATGCTCGTATTACATAAATGCGAACTCGACTTATTATATTGCACTCACAACATTTCTCTGTTTGTCATTGAAATAACGCCATAGGTACTTGGTAGATTTGTTTAAAAGACCTGCCCTACAGCTGGAAAAAAAATCACTGACTTTTATCGAAATATATATTTTTATTGTCCGATATAGAAAATAATTATCAAGATTGTATTTTTGCCATAATGCGCAGCCCTACATTCCAAATAAATACAGTGATTAAATATCATTCTGTGGCTCCTCGTCAGCTATAATTCAGAGTGCACATAGCATATCTTTGCAATGTAACAATTGCGAATGCACACATTGCGATATCAATGCTGAAATTATATATTGTGCAGCCCTAAAACAGATACATTATTTATTTTTTGAGATTATTTTTCCCCACAGGGACTTAGGAAAGTTCTTGTATACTTTTATATATTAGTTCTAAATAACAAACAAGATAAATAAGATAATAAATCTTACATTAAAAGTGCTTGTGATTGAGGCTACAAAAAATGAGTTTGTTAACATTTATTTGGTTTAAAAAAATACTTAAATATTATAAATAAAATACCGATTTTCGATGTGAACGCATAGTAAAATGTAATTCATTTCTATGACAAACTTCATTTTTAGCACTACTCAAGTTTTCAGAAACCACTTTATGTATTAATGATTAAGAAATATTTCTGATTATCATCAATGATGAAAACCAATCACTGCTGCCTCACATGTTTAAGGAAACATTTCAGAATACATTGATGAACAAAGGAAAAAAAAGGATTTATTTAAAGACTTTTGTAACTTTTTAAATGTCCTTTCCATAACTTTTTATTAATTTAACAGATGCTTCCACAAATAATGCATTACTCTGTAAAGTTCTTGATTTAACACCATATCAGTATCAATAGCAAATTCCACATAAAAAAGCATGATCATAATTTGAACAAATTGTTTACAATAAATGAAAAACCTATTAAAACATATAAAACATATAAAAACCTACAAATATATAAATAATTGCTTAAAATAACAATAGCATAAAGTAACACAGAAACATAAGTAATTAAAAGAGAAACATTTTTAAAAGACCACTAACTTATTTTCTGAATACAAATGTTGTCTAATGTAACTTTAAAATGCACATTTGATTTAAGAAATTACATAAATTGTCTTTCCTTGGCCCTGAGTAACTAAGTACAGAAAATAGCATGCATTAATGCAATAAACAACAGTCGAAAATACACATAACCATTCTGCACTAGCACAAAGAAAGAGTGAAAATATAAATGTAAACATTCACAATTTCTATACTGATTAATATGTGCTTTGCCTAGAAGACTACAAGACTAATTAGGCTTAACGAAGCCCTGAATGCTTAGGCTGATTTCAGGTTTACAAAACCCCCACAATAAGAGCTTCTTAAGTCTTCAGCTGAGGTTTCTGTCCGATCACACACTCAGATCTTTCCCATATTATTTTGCCGAATGCATGAATGTAACTGTTAATTTTATTTACATGAAAGCACCAACAGGTCAGGTTATGGAATAAACATACATTTAAATTCTAGACTTATATATAATTAATATAAATAATAAATTACATTTAATAAAAAAAATTTAGAAAATAAATAAATAAATAAATAGATCTTACAATGCAATAAAATAGATAAACAAAAATTATGTGGGCAACTGAAAAAGATTAGGTGTTCTCACTTTATGTGAGTGAATACTTAATGATGGTTAAAAGAAATCGAAATATAAAATGTGTGTTAGTTAAATATCAATACTGACTAATATTATCCAAAGCAATATACTATGATATATTATACTTTATTCACTTTAAACTTTCTGGCCCATTTACAACACTCGCATACAAAAAAAAATTAAACGAAAAATAGACTTGGGTCTATTAGTGTGTGTGCTCCATTGCATGCAAGGTTTCTGTATTTATAACCACCTCAGAGGATACTGGGAGTTGTGAGCCACTGGCATTGTCATTTTAGGGGTTGCGGGCTGAAAAATTTAGGAACCCCTGATTTACATGACAGCATTATCAGGTCAGGCTATGGGGAAAACCACCATAGATAATTAATTTAAATAACAGTAGATAGAAAACTTTGAAAAATTATGAAAGAAAAAGATCTGATGAAGATTAAGTGTTTGTATTTTTTTTAAATAATACTTGATGATGGTTATAGAAATCAAAATATATAACATTTGTCAGTTTAAAATCAGCATCGACTAATATATCCAACTAAGCAATATACTACAATTTATAAATGCATTAAAATAAATAAACAATATATCTATCTATCTATCTATCTATCTATCTATCTATCTATCTATCTATCTATCTATCTATATATATCTATCTATATATATATATATATCTATCTATCTATCTATCTATATATATATCTATCTATCTATATATATATATATATCTATCTATCTATCTATCTATATATATCTATCTATCTATCTATATATATATATATATATATATATATATATATATATATATATATATATATATATATATATATATATATATATATAAAGAGAGAGAGAGAGAGAGAAAGAAAGAAAGAAAACCATCTCATATTAATTGACATCTCATAAAGATTATTGTCAAATATCAGTTTAATGTCTTAATATTATCCAACTATGAGCATTATACTACAATAAATCAATGAATAAATAAATGAATTGCAAAATATGCATACCTATAATTCATTTAAAACATTAAAGTAAGTGTCAGGTCAAATATGGATGCTATTTAGATGACAGGTCAGGTTATGGGAAAAAATTTTTTTTTAAATAATTAAAAAAAAAGTAGACAAACTAAACTTT